CAGTCATCATGTCATGACTTTTGAAAGAGTGTGACAACTAGGATGAGAATGTGAGAGATTCCATAACACACCTTGTCTGTGAAATACGAAATTGAATTAATTGTTGAGCAACTTGATACCTGATTTTCAGCTGCTGAGTGCTATGTGGTTCTGTTATTACCAAAATACTGAAAGTATATGCTATAAATAAATGCCAGATGCTACTGATAAAAGAATCAAAGGATTAAATATTCTTAACTGTCATTGTCTTCAATTATTAGAAGTTCATCATTGGCCCCAAAACATTCTTAACACCATTAAAATTTATTTAACCATATATTTACACCCAAATACTACACATTAGGTATGTCACCAATGAGTTATGAGATTTCTCAACTTTCACAAATCAAGTTCAGGTAAAATTAAAGATTTTCTCATGAGATTGGATCAAGCACGCAAATCAGTCACTCACTAAAAATAGATAATCATTAATGATAATTATGTTGCCTGAATAAATCCAGTCTCTTTGATGTGATATGACTTTCTCCAAGGGGCTCTTTGAAGTTTTAATTTGTCAAAGGCAGCAACTTTCTTCCAAGCATCTCTGCTAGCAGGACACACTTGGATCCAAAATAACCATGGTTTTAGTTCCAAATATGCCAAGATTACTATAACATACATATCACTTAAATAAGGCTGAAATGGTTGAAACTTTATCATATCACAAAGAAGTGCATAGAGATATGCAAACAAGTTTCCACAAAGGTTTTTGACTCTGGCCCACTGTAAAATTCTGTATGTCTATTCTTCTGCCACTTTCAAAATTTTGATTATTCTAGCTTATGTAATAAGTTTTGAAATTGGGAAATATAAGTCCTCCAATGTTGTTCTTTTTCAAGAATAAACCTTGACGTTTTATAAATTTGAGGTCACTTGTAATTCATGTGAATTTTAGGATTAACCTTTCCACTTCTGCAAAAACAATATTAGGACTTTGGTAGGAATTTTATTGAATCAATCTTTTTGCTCTGTAAGAATTGTTGACTGAAAGTCTATTTTGTCTGATATTAGTACAGCTACCTGAGCTCTCTTTTTGTTTACTATTTGCATAGAACTTTTCTCATTCTTTCACTTTGATCCTATTTGAGTCTTTGGATCTAAAGTATATGTCCTGTAGACAGCATGCAATTGGATAATTTTAAAATTCATTCTGCCAATATCTGACTTTTGATTAAAGTTAAACTCAATTAGAGTTTAATCCATTTACATTTAAATGTGATAAGAACTTACTTCTACCATTTTGCTATTTTCTGTATCTGTACTACCTTTTTTCTTTAATTCTACTATATGTACATACATTCTTTTTTATTTGACTTTTATACTGTTGCATTTTGATTCCTTTTTCATTTCCTTTTCTGTATTTTGTTAGTTATTATCTTCGGAATTTTAACTAAAATCCTACATTTTTACAATCTAGTTTGAATTGATACTAACTTGGCTTTAATAGTATACAAAACTATTCCTATAATCCTCTGCCTCCCCACTTACATTATTGTCACAAATTATATTTTTATACATTGTATGCCCATTAACACACCTTTATAACTAGCTATGTTTGTCTTTTAAATCATATAAGAGAAAAGAGAGTTACAAACCCAAAATACAGTAATACTGGCTTTTATATTTCCTATATAATTACTTTTATTGGTGTCCTTTATTTATTCATATGGCTTTGAGCTAATGCCAACTGTCATGTGATTTCAGTGTGAAGCACTCTCTTAACACTTGGGGATTAATATAGCTCTATTAGCAACTCTACCCCCACCACCCACACACACACCTTTTCTTTAAGAATATCTTAATTTCTTCTTAATTTTTGGAGAATCATTTTGTCAGATATAGAATTCTTGGTTTACAGGCTTTTTCCTTTTGGTACTTTTAATATGTCACCCCACTTCCTTTTGGCCTTTTTTAATGCTGATGAGCAACTGGCTGTTAATCTTATTGAGGATCCCTTGTATGTGACAGTTCAATTCTATCTGTGGCTTTCATGATTTTATCTTTGAACACTGTCATTATGTTTCTTGGTGTAGATCTCCGAGTTTATTCTACTTGGAGTTTGCTGATCTGTGTTAGATGTGTAGTTATTAACTAGACATGTACTTGTCTAGTCTAGTTCAGTCTAATATCTTTGTTCCCTCTGGGACAGTTTCTGCTAATATCTTTTTGTTTGTTTTTGAGACATGGTTTTGCTCTGTTACCCAGGCTAGAGTGCAGTGGCACAATCTCGTGACTCACTGCAGCCCAACCTTCTGAACTCAATCTTCCTGTCTTAGCCTCATGAGTAGCTGGGACTACAAGTGCATACCACCACACCTGGATCATTTATTTTTATTTTTAGAGATGGGGTCTTACTGTGTTGCCCAGGCTGTACTTGAACTCCTAAGCTCATGTGATCCTCTCACCTCAGCTTCCCAAAGAGTAGGGAGTACAGGCTTGAGTCACTACACCCAGTTAGGATATTTTGTTTGGAGGTTCTACCAGGGAACACAGCAACCATTATATCCTTGACTATGCTAGCTTAGAGCCAGAACCTAAGCAACACCATTTTATAAAATGCAAAACTGTTTTTAAAATAAGTTGCAACGGCTGTCCCATTCTCCTCACAATAGCTGCTGGCCTTGGCTTCTGTAAATAGAACTGCTAGTTTGTTCTGCAAACTATGTAAAACTGCTTACCTTTTCTTATCAGTAACTGCCAGAATTGCTAGCCTTTGCTTACCAGTAATAACCAAAATAAGCAGCCCAAGCTAATTCCATCCTGGCTCCTGTGACTTGTAATAAGTAACTAAGATCTGTGACTTCTATCACTACCCAGACAATGTGTAAACAAATGTTTATCTTGACTTCTGTAAACCACTTAAGTAACAAGTGGAATGACAAAAGTCCCCTGGCCCTTGGAATGTCCAGAGACCCCCCCTCCCATCTCTGCCCAGGAGGTAATTTACAGAATCCACTAGCCCTCGGAATGTCTGAAGCCTTTTTATCCCCATCCCCGCTCCTCACCCCCACTCCCAAGGTGGTTTTTCGAGTATAAAAAGTCTTGGCAACCTCCTTTCAATGCCACAGGTTGGAGAGACTTGAGTCTTCTGTGGTCGCTGGCATAATAAATGACCCTGCAATCTGGCATACTTTTGTCTTGGTGCTTTCTACGCTTGGTCCAGTACAACAGACCAAAGAATGGTTCTCTTCTATCCAGGAAAGTCTTCTTCTTTGACTGTGCATGCAAGAGTATGCTCAAGAGTAAGACACATGGAACTGTGAGGATGGAAGGGGACACCGGCCTAGAGAGATCAGCCAAATCAATCCTGGCAATCAATGGGGTGACAGATGTCACAGCCAGACCTTCAGCTAGGATATTTTGAATATGATAATGCAGTAACTCTGGAAATCAGATTCCTTTCTATCTAGGGTTTGCTGTTGTTGCCTATGATGGGTTATGGTCAGGTCACCTATTTGTTTAGTGCCCTTTCCAAATTCTTTTTTTGTAAATACTATTTCTTGTCATGTATGGTCATGGAAGTCTTTTTTCCATTATCTTAGAATAATGGAAAAAAGACGTTACTAGACGTTAGCAAGTGACCTGATAGGCTTCTGTAAATGTCTAGAATGAATAACAAAGTTAAAAATTCTCCAGGTCCTAGGCAGCAATGACTTATTCATTTGTCTTTCAATATTTTAGGGGAAAAGTCCTCCATGTAGCTGCTCTGCCCTGAAAGAATCTTGACTTAGGCGAAACAAAGCAAAGTCCCCTCTGTTAGTCCTTTGGGGAAACTTTTGTCAGGTCAAAAGACACAAACATAATTCCTTGGGGACAAGGTCTTCTCTGCTCCCTTTATGGACCAGGTAGGACTCAAGTAAATTAAAATGTTATGAAGATCTACTATGATTAAGCCATCTTTCTCCTGATTAAACATTCTCTTAATTTTTATAAATCTGATTTTTCTACCAGAGTTCCAATAAGGTTGATTCAGACACACTTTGCCACATATTTTAGTGGGAAGAAATGGAAACCTAAAATTCCCTATATACCATCAATTTAACACTTTGTTGTTTGCATCCCCCTTCTGTTTTAAATTTGAAATAAAATAAAAAGTGGTCACATAAAAATAACAGAATTGAAAGTTCTGGGTCTACTCTTTTATTGAGGTAAAATTCACGTAAGATTAACCAGCTCAGTGTGTACACTTTAAAGTTTTCATTACATCTATGTTATGCCACCATGTCTATCTAGTTCCAAGACATTTTAATCATCCCAGAATGAAACAGTAAACTCATCAACCAGTAAACTCATCCCCCATTCTACCCTACCTTCCAGCCCTTTACAACCACTAGTCTGCCTTCTGTCTCTATGGATTTATCTATTCTGGATATTTTATATAAATGGAATTATACAATATGTATCTCTTTTGCTGTCTTATTTCACTTAGCATATTGTTTCTGAGGTTAATCTATGCTGAAATATATGTCAAAACTTCACTCCTTACAGCTGAGTAATATTCCATTATATGGCTATACCACATTTTCTGTATCAGCTGATGGGATTTTGAATTGTTTGTACCTATTAGCTATTTTGAATAGTGCTGCTATGAACATTCATGTACTTGTATTCATTTGAACATTTGTATTCAATTCTTTTGAGTGTGTACCCAGGAGTAGAACTGTCGGGTTATATGGTAATTTTATGTTTAACCTTTTGAGGAACTGCCAAAATGTTTTCCACTAAATCAGGAAGAAAGAATTGACAAGTGGTCTTCTAGAAACTAATAGAAAGGGGTGAGATAAACTGTATCTCAAATATATTTCTTTATCTTAAGCTCAAACTAGAATACCCCAGAAAAGATAAGGGCCAGTCAGTCTAGTTTTTATGTCATCTCATATCCTCAAGTAAGAATAGGTCGTGTTGTTGAAACAGCCATGGAACTCCACATTCACACATTCACTTTGTCTGAAAACACCTACGAAAATGGCATCCTTAAATCCTGGTTGAAAGTTCACAGGACACCACAGATATCTGGGTGTGTCAGCTGTGCTGCTGTGAACAAGCCAGAGTACTCTTCCTCAATCATCCTTATCTAAGGCGAGGAGAATAAGACAATAGATCAAGATGAGAAACGTTACTTCCTGTATGTATGGCTTAGCATGCTATTTCTTAATGAAGAGACATGACTAGTACTGGAAAAAATGATCCATTAGATAGTCTTTGTTCTGTTTGATGAACAAATGGCCTATAGCCTAACTACACAGATCTCTTGAATTTGGAGAAAATCTCAGGTACTTTAATGCAGAAATAAGACTTTCAATTGATCACTCTTGTTTATATATTCAAGGAAGCCTTATCAATAACAATTGGCATCAACATGTTGCTTGCACTCCATCATATAATGATCATACTGGAGCCAGGTAAAACTCAGATTTTAGAAAACAGACATCATACTACTCATAATTGTATTTAATTTAGTGAATGATGGAATACGTATATAACAGAATTATAACATGTAGCCATAATGCCATAGTCTTTATGTTGTGAGTCATCATCAATAAACCACCAACACTGAAAAAACATAGGAACTTGACATACATAAATTAGAAGTTAATATGTTAACTTCTATAGTTAGACCAAATAAACATCACATCTTAGAGATGAAAACAATAAACGCAAAAGTTGTCAACATTGTATCAATGCAATTTTAGTGAAAAAGTTTCCCTCTTGTAGATCCCATCAGGTATGCTAGTCATTCATTGAAAAGAAAAAGGCATAGTGGTAATCATGTTGCCTGAAGGAATGGCCCTGATTGTCATTCACATAAGCGTGTATAAAGGTCTAATTTATCACTGGCATCATAACAAAATAGAAGCCCAACACTTGGGAGGGAAAAGTTGGGCACCAGATTGCTCATCAATTTATCCAATTTCAAGTTTCATGGCAAACACATACTATTGAAACTCACATTTCTACCCCAATTGCAAACATCCTGGCTTAGAATAGTACAGTTTTTATAGGTAAAGGGGCAGGGGAAGTAACTCAGGACTTAACGCAGCAGGTTTTAGACAACGTGGCAGTTTCTCTTAAGGTTTTCCAGTCAGTAAGCAGTAAGCTGATGTACAGAAGCAGAAAGAGGCAGGCACTAACAAAAACAGGGACAGTCTCCAAATAGGGACGGTTACAGACAACTTGCTGACAAAATTCTGCGCAAAATATCTACTTCAGTCATCAAGATTCTTCAATGATCAAAACATATCCTAGCAGTGTTAAAATATCATACTAATATTATGGAAAATTTTATCTGTATATTTAAACCACAATGACGATAGCGCATTAAGCAAAATATCAATGTATCGTATTTCTCAACCCTGAAAACAATCAATTGTAAGCAAAAAGGATTTTTTATGAGAATTGCATCACATGTGTCAATCATTGAGAAGAAAACCCTATCATGATATTCATGTTTTCAGAATGAATAAATCTAATTATTATTTGGAATTTTTCAGTCAGCAATGGCAGCCTCTCACCTCCACTCAATAGAACAGTGCCAGTAGGACTTACTAAATCATCCAATGAGAGAAAAAGAGCAAGGGTCTTAGTGCCAAGCATCTAAGAACATTAGGAGTTACAGGAAATGTAAATTAGGAATTACAGTAAATTTAAAGAATCAGAATTTGGGCCGGGTGCAGTGGCTCATGCCTGTAATCCCAACACTTTGGAAGGCCGAGGCAGGCAGATCACGGCAAACGCAGGCTGGGGGTTGGGGGCGATCAGCCAAGGCACGCAGGACTTCAGACTTTCTGGGTCCAGGCGTGCACATGGAGGCCTGACACTGAGTAAGACTCAGGATAAGTGAAGAGATTTCATACTACCTGTACTGTATTCAATTTCAATCAAGGGTAACATACAGCTGAATTTTAAGCCAACCCCTAAAATTGCCAAAGTCTTTCAGTTGTGAGGAATGCCTCAATGATCCACAAATATCATAACACCATACACAGCAACCCAAAAAACATGTACTGTATTTGTACAATCACTAAAGAGTTGACTGCAATGAATTACTAAATGTCTCCATCTTTAAATCAAAGTATGTTCAGTAAAAAAGAGTTTAAATGAGGACTCCATTAGATCACTCACTGATGGGAAAGAATAGATCACTGCTCACCTATTTTGTATAAACAGGTAAATGTAATCATTTTGAAAGCCAATGTTTAATATTTTAATGGTCCATTTGGAATTTAATTACCAAAAATAGAACATATATAACCCATGTAATGACACACCTGGTTGAACATTCTGAAGCACACCATGAAGAAAAAATAAACCAAGATATTCACTTTTATAAATGAAGTTCATACTGATTGTCACATTCTCCTCTCCATTACCATGGTCTTACAGAAAGTTCATCAGTAACTCAAAACGGTGAAGCACTGTTAGAGTCCACAATAATATAGAAAAATTTTTTCTAGTCATGTACCTAGAGCCAAATGTATATTAAATATAGGACTAGGCAACAGTTAATTTAAAAAATTGTCAATATTGAATTGTATAAAGTTCAGATAAAAAGATTTTGTCATGAAGATATTGTAAAGGAAAACTCATTGAAATTCAGATTGCCTGAAGGTATAAAGCTAATTCCCTTAGGTGTGAGTCTCATATCAATGAATTTCTGTGGTTATGTCAAAAGAAATCTCCTCTGCCATGCTTGTCTCCTTTCTCATCTTTAGATTTCCATACAATCTTTTTCAATAAAGTAGGAGATGGGCGGTGCACCGAACTGATCAAATTATACATGATCATACAACGTAGAGGAAAAAAAGGCATCATTCTGAAAGACTACAATGAGACTGCCTATTCCAACTAAAACACTACCAAATTAGGAAGTAAATAAAAGACGAAAAATGCCGCCACCAATAAAACATTTGCTGCTGCCTTTGTGAAAGTAAAACACACAAAGGGAAAAAAATATGCCAACAGAACACACAAAAAGCACTGAAGAAATACAAAGAGCTGCCACAACACCCATCACATAACCTCTCAAGACAAAATAAGGTTCTCATCGTCAACCCAAATGAGGGCACCTGCTGCCGCACGAGTCACCAGTGGAACCTGGATAAGCTCACCACAGCTCAATGCAGAACACCAGGCTGCCAAGAAACACCCAAGCTCCAGAACACCAAGGGCTGTGTACCCGGCTGACAGACACTGGCCCAGGACCAGTGGGAGGAATGCAAGTCTTCTTCTGGGCTCACCATTTGGGGGACAGGAAGAGGACAGCTGTCCTAACAGAGCCTGATGCCTCCACGAGAGGATGTGGGAAGGGGTGCCGGCTCACCCAAGCTCATCCTCCATGGACTCACATAATGGAAATGGGATCCAAGTGGAACACTAACCACCTCATGACACAGGGCACCTTGGCCCTCCCTGCCACCAAACCCTGGCAAGACAGGGTAAGAGGGTCACTAGGATTAGGCAAGACACCTGGGGTACACCCAACTGCAGGCCATGAGACCACATCCACTGCTTCCAACAGCTCTCCCGAATGACCCCAGGGCTGCACCAAGATCACAGGGCAGGGGGCAGGGCAACCAACCAGCTCATGGCCAATCAAGGAGACTGGCCTTGATGCCAGGAGTCACCGCAGACCTGGCAGTCACAGAGCCTGCCGCTGGGCGTGGTGGATGCCCACCCGGGTGCCATCTCCAAGTACGCACCGGAAATCAAACCCTGCGGCCTCCAGGGCCATGTGCTTTCTCTGGTGGGTCCCCCTCCATGACCCAACCCCAGGGAAAAGACACCACCCACACCAGGCTCCAGAAGGCCCACTGGGATGGCCCATTTTTCAGCAGGGAAGGTTCCGATCAGTTGTGGGCAGGGCACCATCCTTGAGTCTCCACCACTCAACCCCACAGGCAGATTCACACACCACACTCAGGGGACCAAGAACTCCCCTCTGACCCCCCTCATGTGGCCTGGGCAGTCCTCAAGGCCTGACCTGAGCACTGAGTCTCAGCTAGCCCTGCCCTGGGTGAGGCTCAAGAAAACAGTTCCTGCCTGGACCACCATCACCCCTGCAGGGCTCAGGGAAGGTATCTTCCTTGCATTCCTTTACAGCAAAAGTTGCTCTTCTGGAAAACTCATGCCTCTCTCGTGGAAATGCGGGTTGGCTCCCTCAGGAAACCCTCGTATCCCATAGGCTGACCCCTGGTGACCCCATATGGCCTGGCTCATGGCTCGGGACATCAGCAGAATCCACTCACCTGTGCAGGTCAATACCAGGGGGCCCGCCCAAGTGGAAGAGCTCACTGAAAGACACAGGGGAGAATGGGGCCCAGAGAGGAGCCATCCAAGTGCCCCGCCCCCAGGGAACAACAGCCTGGATACCAAGCCTCCATAGGGAGCCTGGGCTGCATCACGGAGGAGCAGAGACAGGGCTGGGCACCTTCCAGATGCCCTTCAGGGCCCTACCAGAGATCCCTGCAACCTCTTCCAACATTCTCCCCTAGGCTGGGCCTCAGCGTAATCCTATTGAGCATGATTTTTAAGTCATCACCTCTCTTCAGGACAATATAAGGTTCTCATCACTGACCCAACCAAGGACAACCCCCTCCCCACACATGTACCCACCACCTGGATGTGCTCACCACAGCTCAGTGCAGGAGACCAGGGTTCCAGAGAGGGTCCGAGCTTCAACACACCAAGGGATGAGCACCAGGCTGACGGACACTGGCCCTGGGCCTGCAGGCCCAACACAAGTCTTCCTCCAGGCTCACCACCTGCAGGGACAAGAGAAGGACATGTGTCCAACCAGGGCCTCAAGTATCAGTGCAGGGAAGGTGGGTAAGGCACATCCATGTGATAGGATCCATGCAGAACACTGACCCATCACGGACACAGGGCGCCCTTGAACCACCCCACCACCAAACCCTGGAAAGACAGGGCAAGGGGGTCACTGGGCTGGGGCAAGATGCCTGGGCTGCGCCCTACTGCAGGCCCAGAGAGCACCTCCACCGCCTGTGCCGGCTCCCCTGAACAATCCCAGGGCCACACCAGGAGCATGGGGCATGAGCCAGGACAACCGACCATCTTATGAGCAAACAAAGAGACTGGCCCTCATGCCAAGAGCCAAGGCAGACCTGGCAGTCACAGAGCCTGCCCTGGGTGTGGTGGGCGCCCGCTTTAGTGCCCTCTCCAAGCACACGCCAGAAATCAAAGCCTGGGGGACTCCAGGGCCATGTGCTTTCGCCGGTGGGTCCCCATCATGCCCTGCACACCTCATACACACAGAGCCAGGCCACACTCGGCCCATCGGAAACCACATAGTGCCTACTACTTTTCTTTGGCTCAAGACCCCGCCACACTGGAGGTGACTCCCTGGCTCAGAAGCTGCCTAGGTGGCAAATTCCCAGGACAGGTCCCTCAACACCAGGCCTTCCCCCTCAAGAGGTCACCCTTCCCACCACTGGACCTCCAGGAAGGGGTGACCCCAGTGGAACGCGAGCTGCCCCCTTGGCCCAAAGACCACGAGCCCCAGGGTCAGCCTGCAGCACCTCCAGGCACCAGCCAGAGCTGACTTGACCCAACCACATCAAAAGAGCACGGCCCCCTACCAGGCTCAAGGAGGCGCCACTAAGATGGCCCATTGCTCAACAGGATCAGGTCCATTCAGGGCCATGGGGGGGGCACATTCCTTGAATCTCTGAGGCATGACTGTGTGGGCCCAATCACCCACCACTCTCCAGGGAGGGAGAACTCCAGTGTGGCACCCAAGTGTCCTCAGGGCCCCTGTGACCCCCCTCATGTGGCCTGGGCAGTTTTTGAGTCCTGACCAGCCCAATGACTTTCAGCTGGGAGCTGCCTTACACTGGGCTGAAGGAACCCTTTCCTGCCTGGCCCACCGTAACCCCTGCAGGGCTTCACAAAAGGTGTTCTCCAGGGTCAGATTCCCAAAAATGCAAGCCTTCTGGAGAAACGTTCCCTCCAGGGTGGGAAATAAGTTGGCACCCTGAGAAAACCCTAGTGGCCAGAGGCTGACCCTTGATGACCCCACACCTCCTCACTCATGACCCATGACCCCAACAGGATACACTCACCTATGCCACTTAAGGCCACAGGTCCCACCTGTGCAGAAAAGCTCACTGAAAGATAGGTGAGAACGTGGGCTCAGAAAGGAGCCGCCAACATGCCCCACCCTCGGGGAGCCAAAGCCCACACAGGAAGCCTGGGCTGCCTCACGGAAGTGCGCAGAAACAGGTTTGGGACCCTCTACAGATGCCTTTCAGGGCCTCAAGTTCTCCAGCCCAAAATACAGCGGCCCTGCCGGGGACCTCGGGATCCCAGCGTCAAGCACCAGCCCGGTCGGGAGACCCCCACCCAGGCGGTGCTGAAGGTATCTGAGAGACAGACACCCAAACAGCACAACAGAGCTGATCTATCCTGGAGACAAAAAGCCTGAGACCCGGCGGGGCTAACAGCTCTCCAGACTGAAGGCCCGGAGCAGGCGTGCATCCTCGTATTTATTTGCTCTTGACAGGTGACTCTCATTAATACACAGGTGTTTTCTATAACTTAAAAATACACCAAGTAGGCAGCTGTTACCAACCTATCACTAATTACAAACTAAAAGTATCCGCCACAAGGGAGCCATGGGGGCAGGGTAAACTTAACGTTCCTCAACAGTGTTCCCAATTCTCCCCTCGGCTGGGCCTCAGCGTAATCCTATTGAGCATGATTTTTAAGTCATCGCCTCTCTTCAGGACAATATAAGGTTCTCATCATTGACCCAACCCAGTGCAGCCCCCTCCCTATGGATGCATCCAGTGGGACCCAGATGTGCTCACCACAGCTTGGTGCAGGACACCAGGGTGCCAGAAAGGGCCTGAGCTTCAGCACACCAGGGACTGGGCAACTGGCTGACGGATACTGGCCCAGGAACAGCAGGCCCAATGCAAGTCTTCCTTCAGTCTCACCATCTGGGGGACAGGTGGAGGACATGTGTCCAAAATGACCTCCATATGGGGAAGGAGGTAGGGGGTGCCAGCTCATGCATGCTCGTCCTCCATGGACACATGTGATGAGATCCATGTGATACTGAATCATGACCAACATGGGGCACCATTGGCCCTCCCTGCCACCAAACCCTGGAAGGACAGGCGGGTGGGTCACTGGGCTCAGACAAAATGCCAGGCTGCACCATACGGCAGGTCCTGGGAGCATCTCCACTGCCCAAGAGGCTCCCTTGCATGACCCAAGGGACTCCTCCCCAAAACCACTGGGCACAGGCCGGGGCCACCAGCCACCTCATGGCCAACCAAGAAGGCTGGCCCAGAGGCCACGTGCTGCTGCAGACCTGGCAGTCGCACAGCCTACCCTGGGTGTGGGGAGCACGCATCTAGCTGCACTCTGCAAGCGTGCACCAGAAGTCACATTCTGGGGCTGCAGGGCCATGTGCTTTCTCTGGTGGGTCACCATCCATACTTCGCATACCTTCCACACACAGAGGCAGCCACACTTGGCCACTGGGAGACACATGGTGCCCTCTCCTTTGCTTGGGACCAAGACTCTTCCATGCTGAAGGTAACACCATGGCTCCCAAGCAGCCTGAGCAACAAAATTCTGGGAAAAGTCCCTTCACAGCAGGCATTCCCATCTGAGCATGCCACCCTTCACGACACTTAACCTCGGAGATGAGATGACCCCCAGAGGGATGCAGGGTGCCCTTTGGACCAACGGCCAAGGGTCCCAGGGCTGACCTGTAGCACCACCAGGTGCCAGCCACAGCTCTGCCTTGACTCAAACCCAAGGAAACAATGCTGCCCGCTCACCAGGCTCCAGGAGACCCACCGAGGTGGCCAATTGCTCAACAGGGACGGTCCCATTCAGGGCCATGGGTGAGGCACGATCCTTGAATTTCCACAACCCAACCCTACAGGTCCATTCACACACCACACCCGGGGACTGAGAGCTCTCCTGTGATTCCCATAGCACCCAGAGCCACTGTGGCCCCCCTTGTGTGTTTAGGCAGTCCTTAAGGCCTGACCCAAGCACTGAGTCTCAACTGGAGTCTGCCCCACATGGGGGTGAAGGAACCCTTTCCTGCCTGGACCACCGTCACCCATGCAGGGCTTCAGGGAAGGCATCCTCCTTGCGTCCAATTCCCAATAAAGCAGCGGTCCTGGAGAACTCACCCCTCCCAGGTGGAAATTCAGGTCAGCTGCCTGAGAAAACCCTCGTGGCCTGAAGGCTGAACCTCGGCGACCCCAGACAGCCTGGCTAATAGGCTATGACCCCAGCTGGGTCCATTCACGCCAGTCAATGCTGGGAGGCCCACCTGGGCAGAAGAGCTCACTGAAAGACACAAGGGGAGAACAGGGGCTCAGAAAGGAGCCACCAACCTGCCTCATCCCTGGGGAATCGGGGCCCAAACACCAAGGCCATATAGGGAGCCTAGGGACCATCATAAAAAAGTGCAGAGACAGGGCTGGGCACCCTATGGATGCTCTGAGGGCCTCCAGGTCTCCAACCCAAAACACAGTGGCCCTCCCAGAAATCTCGGGATCCTGGCATCCTCTTCCAACATTCTCACCTAGGCTGGGTCTCAGTGTAATCCTGTTGAGCATGATTTTAAAGTCATCACCTCTCTTCGGGACAATAGGAAAAGGTTCTCATCATTGGCCCAACTTAGGGAACCCCCCTCCCCATGCATAGATCCGGCAGGACCTGGATATGTTCACCACAGCTCAGTGCAGGAACCAAGAGCTCCGGGAAGGGCCCGAGCTTCAGCACACTGGGAGCTGAGAAGCTGGCTGACAGACACATGCCTGGGGCCTGCAGGCCCAATACACGTCTTCCTCCAGGCTCACCATCTGGAGGGACAGGAGGAAGACATGTGTCCAACCAGGGCCTCACGTATCAAAGCGGGGAAAGTGAGTAGGGGATATCCATGTGATGGGATCCATGAAGAATACTGACCCATCATGGACACAAGGCATCCTTGGCCCTCCCTGCCACCAAACCTTGGAAACAGAGGCTCAAGACCCCGCCACCCTGGAGGTGGCCCTATTGCTCAGAAGCAGCCTAGGTGGCAAATTCCCAGGACAGGTCCCTCAACAGCAGGCCTTCCCACCTCAGGAGACCACTCTTCCTGCCACTGGACCTCAAGGAAGGGGTGACCCTAGAGGGACATGAGCTATCCCCTTGGCCCAAAGACCATGAGGCCCAGGGCCGGCCTGCAGCACCTCCAGGCACCAGACAGGGCTCAGGTCACGGGGCTGAAGCAAGACACCTGAGCTCTACCTTACTGCAGGCCACGAGAGCAGCTCCACTGCCAGGGCCGGCTCCCCTAAACAACCCCAGGCTATGGACCAGGACAACCAACTTGCTCATGACCAAGGGGGCGGGTCCTGATGCTAAGAGCCACTGTAGACCTGGCCATGGCAGAGTCTGCCCCTGGGTGTGGTAGGACCACCCTAGTGCCTATACCAAGAATGTACCAGAAAGCAAGGCCTGGGGCCACAAGGGCGACATGCTGTCTCTGGTGGGTCCCCATCCATGCCCTGCACACCTCCCATACACAGAGCCAGGCCACACTCGGTCAATTGGGAACCACATGGTGTCCTCTACTTTCCTTGAGCTCAAGACACCCCCACCCTGGAGGTGACCCCATGGCTCAGAAGCAGCCTAGGTGGCAAATTCCTAGGACAGGTCCCTTGACAGCAGGCCTTCCCACCTCAGGTGGCCATACTTCCCATCACTGGACCTCAAGGAAGAGATGACCCCAGCAGGACATGAGCTGCCCCATTCCCAAAGCCCATGACCCCCAAGAATGGCCTGCAGCACCTCCAGGCACCAGCCAGAGCCCAGCCTTCATCCAACAGCACTGAAACAGCACCGCCGCCTACCAGGCTCAAGGAGGCACCACTGAAATGGCCCACTGCTCAACAAGGTCAGTCCCATTCAGGGCCATGGTGGATAGCATTCCTTGAATCTCCAAAGCCTGACCATGTGGGCTCTATCACCCACCGTTCTGGGGGAAGGAGAACCCCAGTGTTAGTCCCAGGGCACCCCAGTTGGTGGCTCCTGCTGCCACCCTCATGTGGCCTGGGCAGTCCTCGAGGGCTCACCTGCCCATGGAGTTTCAGCTGGAAACTGCCCTATCCTGGGCTGAAGGAACCCTTTCCTGTCTGGACAACCATCACCCCTGCAGGGCTTCAAGAAATGCATGCTCTATGGTCAGATTCCCCAGGAAGCAACCCTCCTGGAGGAACCATCCCTCCCTGTGGGTGTTCAGTCAGCTCCCTCAGAAAACCCTAGAGACCCGAAGGCTGACTCATGATGACCTCACGCTGCCTCACTCATAACTCATGACCAAAACAGGATGTACGCATGCTGTTGCTTCAGCCCTGAACACCTATGCCACTCACAGCCAGGGGACCAACCTAGGTAGAAGAGCTCACTGAAAGACACAGGGAAGAAGGAGGGCTCAGGAAAGAGCTGCCAACATGTCCCAGGGAACCAGAGCACGGACACCAAGCCCAAACAGTGGGGCTGGGGTGCCTCACGGAAGTGCCCAGACACAGGGTTGGGCTTACAGTATGGCCATGGTTGAGGTACGGTCCTTGAATCTCCATGACCCACCCCTACGGGTCCATTCACACACTACACTTGGGGACTGAGAACTCCCATGTGACCCCCATGGCACCCGGAGCCCCTCTGGCCCCCCTCATGTGTTTGGGCAGTCCTTGAAGCCTGACCCAAGCACAGAGTCTCAGCTCGAGACTGCCCTACATGGGGATAAAGCAACTCTACCCCTTCAGGGCTTCAGGGAAGGCATCCTCCTTGGGTTCGATTCCCAAAAAAGCAGCCCTCCTGGAAAGTTCACCTTTCCCAGGTGGGAATTCAGGTCAGCTGCCTGAGAAAACCCTCAGGGCCTCAAGTATGAACCTCGGTAACTCCAGACGGTCTGGCTAATGGCCCATGACCACAGCAGGGTCCACTCACCTATGCCAATCAATGCCAGGGGGTACACCTAGGTGGAAAAGCTCACTGAAAGACACAAGGTGGGAGAACAGGGGCTCAGGAAGGAGCCACCAACCTGCCCCATCCCCAGAGAACCAAAACACCAACACCAACCCTGCACAGGGACCCTGGGGACCCTGATGGAGAAGCGTGGAGATAGAGTTGGGACCCCTACAGATGCCCATAAAGGCTTCCGGGTCTCCAACTCAAAATATAGTGGCCTTGCTGGGGATCTTGGGATCCCAGTGTCCTCTTCAAAAATTTTCACCTAGGCTGGGCCTCAGCGTAATCCTATTGAGCATGATTTTTAAGTCATCACCTCTCTTCAAGACAATACAAGGTTCTCATTATCGACCCAATTCAGGACAAACCCCTCCCAGCACATGCATCCAGCGGGACCCAGATGTGCTCATCACAGCCAGGAAGGGCCCGAGCTTCAGCACAATGGGGGCTGAGCACCTGGCTAACGCACACTGGCCTGGCTCCACTGGGCCTCACATAAATCTTCCTCCGGTCTCACCATCTGCGGGGACAGAAGGAGAACATGTGTTCAAGGAAGACCTCACACCTGCATGTGGTGAATGGAGTAAAGGTTACCCATGTGATGGGACCCATGTGGAGCACTGACTCATCATGGATACAGGGCACCCTTGGCCCTCCCCATGACCAAACCCTGAAAAAAAAGGGCAGGGAGGTCACTGGGCTTGGGCGAGATCCCCAGGCTGTGCCCTACAGCAGATCTTAAGGGCACCTCCACTGCCCACTCTGCATTCCCCTTCGCATGATCCCAAGGCTGTTCTGGGATCACTGAGCATGGGCCGGGGTCACCAGCCAGCTCATGGCCAACCGAGGAGGCTGGCCCAGAAGCCATGTGCCGCTGTGGACATGGAAGGAGCATAGCCTGCCCTGGGCACGATAAGACACGTGTCCAGGTGCCCTTTGCAAGCCACACCTGAAATAGAAGCCTGGAGTCTCAGGGCCCCACACTTTCTCTGGTGGGTCCCCATCCATGCTCTGAACATGTCCCAAACACAGAGCTGGGCCACCCTTTCCTTTCCTTAGGCTGAAGACTCCTCCCCCCTGGAGATGACCCCATGGCACAGAAAAAGCCTGTGCGGCAAACTCCCGAGACAGGACCATTGACAGCAGGTCCTCCCACCTCAGGATCCACTCTTCCAGTCTCTCACCCATGGGGAAGGGGTGACCTCCAGCAGGACGAGGGCTGCCGACTTGGCCTAAAGCCCACAAGTCCCAGGGATGGGCCGCAGTACCGCCAGGCATTGGCCAGAACTCAGCTTTGACTCACATCCAGGGAAACAGCACTGCCCCCAACAAAGCTCAAAGAGGCGCTATGGGATGGCCCATTGCTCAAAAGTGTCAGCCCTTTTAGGGCAATAGTTGGGGTGCAATCCTTGAATGTCCATGNTGGGCCACTATCCTTGAATCTCTGTGACTCAACCCAAGAGAGAGGCCCATTTGTGCACCACACACCAGGCACCCGGAGCTCCCGTGTGAGCCCAGTGGTGCCCTAAAGTCCCTCTGTCCCCCTCTTGTGGCCTAAGCAGTCCTTAAGGCCTGGCCTGAGCACCTAGCCCCAGAGAGGAGCTGTGCCGCGCGGGTGCTGAAGATACCCTTTCCTGCCTGGCCACCATCACCCCTGCAGGGATTCAGGGAAGGCGTCCCCCTTGGGTCCGATTCTCAAAAGAGCTGCCTTCCTGTTGGGAATTCAGGTCGGCTGCCTAAAAAAATCCTCGTGGCTGACGGTCTGACCCTCGGGAACCCCACGTGGCTTGGCTAACGGCCCATGACCCAAGCAGGACCCACTCACCTATTACGGTCCATGCCAGGTGGCTCACCTGGGTGGAGGAGCTCACTGAAAAACACAAGGAGAGAACGGGAGCTCAGGAAGAAGCCACCAAGGTTCCCCAGACCAGGGAATTGGAGTACCATCTCCAAACCCGCACAGGGAGCCTGGGCTGCCTCATGGAGGAGCGCAGAGACAGGCTGGGCACCTACAGATGCCCTTCAGAGCCATTAGGTCTCCAGCGCAAAATACAGGGGCCCTGCTGGGGACTTGGGGATCCCAGCGTCCTCTTCCAACGTTCTCCCCTAGGCTGGGCCTCAGCGTAATCCTATTGAGCATGATTTTTAAGTCATCATCTCTCTTCAGGGCAATATAAGGTTCTCATCATCGACCCAACCCAGGGCACTCCCTCCCCGCGCATGAATCCAGTGGGACCAGGATGTGCTCACCAAGCTCAGTGCAAGAGACCAGGGCGCCGGGAAAGGCCTGAGCTTCAGCGCATCGTTGGCTGGGAACCCGGCTCACAGACACTGTCCCAGGGCCATTGTGCCCAACGCAAGTCTTCCTCCTGGCTCACCACCTGGGGGGACAGGAGGAGTACACGTGTCCAAATAGAGCCTCACACCTCTGTGTAGAAAAGGGGTTTTGGGATACCCATGTCATGGGTCCATGTGGAACCCTGACCAGTCACGTATGCGGGGCACCCTTGGCCCTCCCCGTAACCAAACGCTGAAAAAACAGGGCAGCCTGGTTGCTTGGTTCGGGCAAGATGCCTGAGCTGCGCCCTACTACCAGCATGGAGAGCACCTCCACTGCCACCGCTGGCTCCCCAGCATGAACCCAGGACTGCCCTGTGACCACTGGGCATGGGCCACAGCCACCAACCAGCTCACGGCCAACCAAGGAGGACAACTCGGAAGGTACGCACCATGCAAATCTGGCAGTCACACAGCCTGCCCTTGGGCGTGGTGGGCAACCGCCGAGGAGCCCTCTCCACGTGTGCACTGAAAATCACAGCCTAGGGACCCAGGCCACGTACTTTCACTGGTGGGACCCCATCCACATCCCATACACCTCCCAAACACAGGGCCGGGCCACACTCGGCCAATCAATGGCTACACGGTATCTTCTCCTTTCCTTGGGCCCAAGACCCTGCCACCCTGGAGGTGGCCCCATGACTCAGAAAAAACCAGAGGGCAAATTCCCGGTACAGGGACAGCAGGCCAAACCCACCTCAGAACGCCACCATTACTGCCACTAAAACTTGGAGAATGGGTGACCCCCAATGGGATGCAGGCTGACCCCATAGCCCAAAGCCCATGGGTCCCACAGCTGGCCTGCAGCACCACCAGGCGCCGGCCGGATCTCAGCCTTGACCCAACCGCACTGAAACTGCACCACCCCCACCAGGCTGAGCACGTGCCACTGGGAGGGCCCATTGCTCAACAGGGTCAGCCCCACTCAGGGCAACAGGGAGAATGAGAACCTTGAACCTCCACAGCCCGACCCTGTCACCACACCCTGGAACAAACTGGGGGACTGAGAGCTCCTGCATTCATGGCACCCCAGAGCCCCTCTGGCCCACCTCAGTCCTCAAGGCCTGACCCGCACACCAGGTCTCAACTGGGCCATGTCTTGCATGGGGCTGAAGAAGTCCTTTACTATCTGGACCACCATCACCCCTGCAGGGCTTCGGAGGAGGCATTCTGCTTGGGTAAAATTCCCAAGGACGCTGCCCTCCTGAAGAAACCACCCCTCCATGGTGGGGATTCAGGTCAGCTCCCAGCGGAAACCCTCGTGGCCCAAAGGCTGACCCTCGGTGACCCAACATGGCCTGGCTCAGGACCTATGACCCCAGCAGGATCCACTCACCTATGCTGGTCAGTGCCAGGAGGCCACGCTTGGCAGAAGGGCTCACTGAAAGACACAAGGAAAGAGTGGGGACTCAGGAGGAGCCACCCACGTGCCCTACCCCCGGGAACAGGAGCAGCAACACCAAGCCCGCACAGGGAGCCTGGGCTGCCTCACAGAGGAGCGCAGAGACAAGGCTGGGCCCCCTCCAGATGCCCTTCAGGGCCTCTAGGTCTCTAGTCCAAAATACAGTGGCCTTGCCAGGCATCTGGGCATCCCAGCGTCCTCTTCCAAAATTCTCACCTAGGCTGGGCCTCAGCGTAATCCTATTGAGCATGATTTTTAAGTCATCATCTCTCTTCAAGACAATATAAGGTTCTCATCATCGACCCAACCCAGGGCACCCCCCACCCCAAGCATGGATCCAGTGGGACCCAGCATGGTCTTCCAACATTCTCCCCTAGGCTGGGCCTCAGCGTAATCCTATTGAGCATGATTTTGAAGTCATCACTTCTCTTCAAGACAACGTAAGATTCTCATCATTGGCCCAACCGAGAATACATCTCTCCCCACGCATGGATCCAGTGGGACCCAGATGTGCTTACCACAGCTCAGTGCAGGAGACCAGGGTGCCAGGAAGGGCCCGAACTTCAGCGCATCGGGCAGGGACTGAGCACCTGGCTGACGGACACTGGCCTGGCTCCACTGGGCCTCACATAAGTCTTCCTCCAGGCTGACCGTCTGTGGGGACAGAAGGAGAACATGTGTCCAGTCAGGGCCTCACGCCTGCATGTGGGCAAGGGGAGTAAGGGTTATCCATGTGATGGGATCCATGCGGAACACTGACCAGTCACGCACCTGGGGAACCCTTGGCCCTCCCCATGACCAAACCCTGAAAAAAAAGGGCAGGGAGGTCACTGGGCTTGGGCGAGATCCCCAGGCTGTGCCCTACAGCAGATCTTAAGGGCACCTCCACTGCCCACTCTGCCTTCCCCTTCGCATGATCCCAAGGCTGTTCTGGGATCACTGAGCATGGGCCGGGGTCACCAGCCAGCTCATGGCCAACCGAGGAGGCTGACCCAGAAGCCATGTGCCGCTGTGGACATGGAAGGAGCATAGCCTGCTCTGGGCATGATAGACACGTGTCCAGGTGCCCTTTGCAAGCCACACCTGAGACAGAAGCCTGGCGTCCCAGGGCCCCGTGCTTTCTCTGGTGGGTCCCCATCCATGCTCCGAACATGTCCCAAACACAGAGCTGGGCCACCCTTTCCTTTCCTTAGGCCAAAGACTCTGCCATCCTAGAGATGACCCCATGGCACAGAAAAAGCCTGGGTGGCAAATTCCAGAGACAGGACCATTGACAGCAGGCCCTCCCACCTCAGGATCCACTCTTCCAGCCTCCCACCCATGGGGAAGGGGTGACCTCCAGCAGGACGAGGGCGGCCGACTTGGCCTAAAGCCCACAAGTCCCAGGGTTGGCCCACAGCACCATCAGGCATCGGCCAGAACTCAGCTTTGACCCACACCCAGGAAAACAGCCCTGCTCCCAAAAAAGCTCAAAGAGGCGCTATGGGATGGCCCATTGCTCAAAAGTGTCAGCCCTTTTAGGGCAATAGTTGGGGTGCAATCCTTGAATGTCCATGGCCCGACTCCATGACCTTATTCGGGCACCCCTCTCCAGGGAAAGAGAGCTCTTGCGTGATCCCTGTGGTGCCCTGGAGGCCCTGTGACCCACTCGCGTGGCCTGGGCAGTTCTCCAGGCTGACACACACGTAGAGTCTCAGCCGGAAGCTGCCTTGCGTGGGGCTGAAGGAACACTTTCCTGCCTGGACCACTGTTACCCTGCAGGTCTTCAGAAAGGCAAGGTCTTGGGTACGAATCCCAAGGAGCTGCCCTCCTAGTGAAACTGTCCCTACCCAGTGGAGACACAGGTCAGCTCCCTGGGGAAACCCTCCTGTCCGGAAGACTGACCCTCGGGGAGAGCACGCGGCCTGACTCATGGCCCATGACGCCAGCAGGATGTACTCACCTATGCGGGTCAAGGCCAAGGGGCCCTTCTGAGCTGAAGAGCTCACTGAAAGACCCAACGGGAGAACGGGGACTCAGAGAGCAGCCCCCGATGTGCCCTGCCCCTGGGGAACAGGTGGGTCAAACCAAGTCCACACAGGGAGCCTGGTGTGCTTCATGGAGGAGCACAGACACAGGGTTGGGTACCCCTGAGAGGCCTTTGAGGGCCTCAAGGTCTCTACCCCAAAATACAGTGGCCTTGCCAGAGGACCTCATGATTCCCAGTGTCCACGTCCAAAATTCTCCCCTAGGCTGGGCCTCAACGTAATCCTATTGAGCATGACTTTTAAGTCATCACTTCTCTTCAGGACAATATAAGGTTCTCATCATTGACCCAAACTAGAGTACCCTCTCCCCAAGCATGCATCCAGCTAGACTCAGGTGAGCTCACCAGCTCCATGCAGGAGACCAGGGCACCAGGAAGGACCCGAGGTTCAGTGCAACAGGGCCTGGGCACCTGGCAGACGGCCTGTGGCCTGGGCACAGTGGGCCCAACGCAATCCTCATCCAGGTTCACCATCCAGGAGGACAGGAAGAGGACCCATGTGATGGGATCCATGTGAAATACTGACCTGCCATGGACATGGGGCACCCCTTGGCCCTCCCCGCCACTACACCCTGGAAGGGCAGGGCAGGCGGGTCACTGGGCTCCGGCAAGACACCTGTGCTGTGCCTACTGTAGGCCTCAAGATAACCTCCACTGCCCACCCTGGCTTTCCACATGAACCTGAGGCTGCACAGAGACTCCTGGACATGGGCCAGGGCCACCAAACAGCTCACGGCCTACAAAGGAGGCTGGTCCTGATGCCAGGAGCCACTGCAGATGTAGCAGTTGCATAGCCTGCCCCTGGGCATGGTGGGCCCCCAACCAGGCACCCTCTCCAAGCGCATACTGGAAATCTCAGCCTGGGGCCCCATGGCTACGTGCTTTCTCTGGTGCGTCCCATGTCCTACACACCTCCCAAACTCACAGCCAGGCCATAGTTGACCAATCAGGGGCCACATGGTGTCTTCTCCATTCCTTGGGCCCAAGACCCTGCCACCTGCAGGTGATGCCATGGCTCAGAAGCAGCCTGGGCAGCAAATTCCTCAACAAGGTCCCTGAACAGTGGGCCTTCCCACCTAAAGAGGCCACCCATCCTTACACCGGGACTCAGTAAAGGTGTGATTCCCCCACGAAGGACACAGGCTGCTGACCTGGCCCGAAGACCACAAGTCCCTGGGCCACACTGCAGCACTATCAGGAGCTGGCCAGAGCTCAACCTTGACCCAACCTCGTTGAAACAGCAACACACCCACACCGGGCTCAATGTGGCGCCACTGGGATGGTTCACTGCTCAACACCGTCAGGCCCATTCAGGGCCATGGGTGGGCATGAACCTTGAAACACTAAGGCCTGACCCTGTGGGCCTGACCGCTCAGTCACCACTCCCGCAACAACACCGAGGACTGAGAGCTCTTGCATGATTTCTGTGGTGCCCCGAAGCCCCTGTGTGGCACTCCACAGGTGGCCTGGGCAGTTCTCCAGACCGGACCCATGCACAGAGTCTCATCTGGGAGCTGCCCTGCATGGGGCTAAAGAAACTCTTTGCTGCCTGAACCATGGTCACTTCTGCAGGTCTTCAGAGAAGCCGTCTTCCATGGGACCCATTCGGAAGAAATCGGCCCTCCTGGAGAACGCTTCCCTCCCTAGTGGGGAACCCATTCCCCGGCTCCCTGAGGAAACCCTCCTGACCCAAAGGCTGAGCCAGCATCCCCATGCAGCCTGGTTCATGGACCATGATGCCAGCAGATGCCACTCACCTATGCCAGTCAATGCCATGGGGCCCACCTTGGCAGGAGAGCTCACTGAAAGACACAAAGGAGAAGGGGGACTCAGGGAGGAGCCGCCAACCTGCCTCACCCCCAGGGAATGGGACTCTTGACACCAAGCCCGCATAGGGAGCCTGGGTTGCCTCACAGAGCAGCACAGAGACAAGGCTGGGGGGCACCAAGATGCCCTTCAGGGCCTTGAGGACTCCAACCAAAAATACAGCGGTCTGCCAGGGACCTCGAGATCCCAGTGTCCTCTTCCAAAATTCTCCGCAAGGTTGGGCCTCAGCGTAATCCTATTGAGCATGACTTTTTAAGTCATCACCTCCCTTCAGGACAACATGAAGTTCTCATCATTGACCCAACTGAAGCCAACCTCCTCCCACACATGCACCCGGTGGGACCCAGACAGGCTCACCACAGCTCAGTGCAGGACACCAGGGCGCCAAGAAGGACCTGAGCTTCAGTGCACCAGGGGCTGGGCACATGGCTGACGGACACAGGCCCAGAGACATTGGGCCCAACGCAAGTCTTCCTCTGGGTTCACCATCTAGCGGGACAGGAGGAGGACATGTGTCCAAATAGGGTCTCATGCCTCCATGCGGGGAAGGTGAGTGGGGGATACCCATCACCTATGTGATGGGATCCATTTGGAACACTGACCTGTCAGGGACACGGACACGGACACGGAGCACCCTTGGCCCTCCCTGCCACCAAACCCAGGAAGCCCAGGAGGCACCCTATTGCAGGTCCCAAGAGCATCTCCACTGCCCCGCCAGCTGCCCTGAACGAGGTCAGGGCCACCCTGAGACCACTGGACATAGGCCAGGGCCACCAACCAGCTCATGGCCAAACAGGAGGCTGGCACGGATGCCACGCGCCACTGCTGACTTGGCAGTCGAGAGCCTGCCCCTGCCCATGTCCCAGCGTGAACCAGAAATCACAGCCTGGGGCTCCAGGGCCACATAGTTTCTCTGATGGGTCCCCATCCATGCCCTGCACACCTCCCAAACACAGAGCCGGGCCACACTCAACCAATCCGGAGACACATGGTGTGCCCCCATTTCCTTGGACCTAAGAAACCGCCACCCTGGAGATAAACCCATGGCTCAGAAGCAGCCTGGATGGCAGATTCCCAGGACAGTTTGCTTAAAAGGGGGGTTTACCACCTGAGGAAGCCACCTTTCCTGCCATTTAATCTCCACAAAGAGTGATCCCAGGCATGACCCAAGCTGTCCCCATGACCCAAAGCCCACGAGGTCCAGGGCCAGCCTGCTGAATGAAAAGGCATTGGCCAGAGCTCAGCCTTGACCTAACCCTAGGGAAACAGCACCACCCAGCACCAGACTCAAGGAGGCGCCACTGGGACGGTCCATTGCTCCACAGTGTCGGGCCCATTCAGGGGCATCGGTGGAGTGTGGTCCTTGAAACTCTGCCCCATGACTCCCTCGGGCCCAATCGCACACTACTCTTTGTGGATTAAAAGCCCCCACGAGACCCCGCAGGGCTCCGGAGCCCCGGTGGCCACCTCATGTGTCCTGGGCATTCTCGAGGCCTGACCGACGCACTGACTCGCAGCTCGCAGCTGCCCTGCATGGGGCTGAAGGAACCCTTTCCTGCCTGGACCACCGTCACCCCTGCCGGCTTCAGGATAGGCGTCCTCCTTGGGTTCAATTCCCAAGGAAGCGGCCCTTCTCGAGAACTCATCCCCAGTGGGAATTCAGATCAATACTTTTAGGAAACCTTCACGGCCCAACGGCGGATGCTCAGTGACCTTACTGCCATGCTCATGACCCATGACCCCAGCAGGACCCACTCACCTATGCTGGTCAATGCCAAAGGGCCCACCTGCACAGAAGAGCTCACTGAAAGACACAAGGGGAGGAGAGGGGTTCAGGGAGGGGCCACCAACATGCCCCACCCCGGGGAGCTAGAGCACCCACACCAAGCCTGCACGGGGAGCCAGGGCTGCCTCACAGAGGAGCGCAGAGACAGGGTTGGACCCCTCGAGATGCCCTTCAGAGCCTTGAGGTCTCTCGCCCAGAATACAGTGGCCCTGCCAGTGACCTTGGGATCCCAGTGTCCTCTTCCAAAATTCTCACCTAGGCTAGGCCTCAGCATAATACTATTGAGCATGATTTTTAAGTCATCACCTCTCTTCAGCACAATATAAAATTCTCATCATTGACCCAACCTATGGTATTCCCCTCCCCATGCATGGATCCAACAGGACCCAGATGGGCTCACCAGCTCCATGCAGGAGACCAGGGTGTCAGAAAGGGCCCAAGCTTTGTTCCAATAGGGCCTGGGCCTCTGGCCGATAACCTCTGCCCAAGCACAGCAGGCCCAACACAAGTCTTCCTCTGGGCTCACCATCTGGGGGCACAGGAGGAGGACCCATGTGCTGGGATCCATGTGAAATATTGACCTGTCATGGATACGGGGCACCCCTGGCCCTCCCCAACACTGAATCCTGGAAGGACAGGGTAGGTGAGTCATTGGGCTCTGGCAGGATGCCTGCGCTGTGCCTACTGCAGGCCTCAGGATAACCTCCCCTCCACACACGAGCTGCTCCATATGACCCCAGGGCTGCACAAAGACCACTGGGTACGGCGCATGGCCACCAACCAGCTCACAGCCAACAAAAAAAGGCTGGTCCTGATGCCAGGCACCGTTGCAGACCTGGCAGTTGTGGGGCTTGGTGGATGCCAACCAGGCACCCTCTCAAAGCGCACATCGGAAATCGCAGCCTGGGGCCACATGGCTACGTGGTTTCTCTGATGTGTCCCCATCCACGCCCCATCCATTGCCCAAACACAGAGCCAGGCAATACTGGACCAATCAGAGGCCACATGGTGTCTTCTCCATTCCTTGGGCCCAAGACCCCGCCACCTGGAGGTGCCATGGCTCAGAAGCAGCCTGGGCAGCAAACTCCTCAACAAGGTCCCTCGACAGCAGGCCTTCCCACCTAAGGAGGCCACCCAACCTTACAATGGAACTCAGGAAAGGCGTGGCCCCCAGCAGGATGTGGGCTGCTGACATGGCCCAAAGCCCACAAGTCCCTGGGCCAGCCTGCCTCACCATCAGGTGCCGGCCAGAGCTCAACCTTGACCCAACCCCACTGAAACAGCAACACAACCCCACCAGGCTCAATGTGGCACCACTGGGATGGCTCACTGCTCAACAGTGTCAGGCCCATTCAGGGCCATGGGTGGGTGTGAACCTTCAAACACTAAGGCCTGACCCTGGGGTCTGACCGCTCAGTCGCCACCCCCGCAACAACACCGAGGACCATGGGCTCCTGCATGACCCCCGTGGTGCCCCAAAGCCTATGTGGTACCCTGCAAGTGGCCTGGGCAATTCTCCAGGCCTGACCCATGCACACAGTCTCATCAGGGAGCTGCCCTAATGGGGCTGAAGAAACTCTTTGCTGCTTGAACCATCATCACCTCTGCAGGTCTTCAGAGAAGACGTCCTCCATCTTGGGAAGAAAGTGGCCCTCCTGGAGAACCCAACCTTTCTGGGTGGGGATTCCCCGGCTCCCTGAGGAAACCCTCCTGTCCCAAAGGCTAAACCGGCATCCCCACGCAGCCTGGCTCATGGCCCATGACGCCAGCAGGTTCCACTCACCTATGCCAGTCAATGCCAGGGGACCCACCTGAGCAGAAGAGCTCACTGAAAGACACAAAGGAGAACGAGGACTCAGGAAGGAGCCGCCAACCTGCCTCACCCCCAGGGAATGGGACTCTGACACCAAGTCCGCACAGGGAGCCTGGGTTGTCACACAGAAGAGCACAGAGACAAGGTTGGGGGCCGCCAAGATGCCCTTCAGGGTTTCAAGGTCTCCAACCGAATATACAGTGGCCCTGCCAAGGATGTCAAGGATGTCAGGGTCCCCTTCCAAAATTCTCAGCCAAGGTTGGGCCTCAGCGTAATCCTATTGAGCATGATTTTTAAGTCATCACCTCTTTTCAGGACAACATAAAGTTCTCATCATTGACCCAACCGAAGACCCCCAACCCTGCTATGCATGCATCCAGTGGGATCTAGATGGGCTCACCAAAGCTCAGTGCAGGAGACAGGGTGCCAGGAAGGGCCTGAGCTTCAGTGCACCAGGGGCTGGACACACTGACTAACGGACACTGGTCCAGAGACACTCACTGGGCCCAATGTAAATCTTTCTCTGGGTTCACCATCTAGAGGGACAGCAGGAGGACATGCGTCCAAATAGGGCCGCATTCCTCCATGCAGGAAAGGTGAGAAAGGAATACCCATGTGATGGGATCCATGTGGAACACTGACCCATCACAGACATGGGCACAGAGCACACTTGGCCCTCCCTGCTACCAAACCCTGGAAGGTCAGGTCAGGTAGGTAACTGGTCTCGCACAAGAAGCCCCGGCTACGCCTCACTGCAGGTCCTGAGAGCACCTCCACTGACCCGACGGCTGCCCTGAACAAAGCCAGGGCTACCCTTGGACCACTGGGCAAGGGCCATGGCCACCAACTAGCTCATGGCCTATCAGGAGTCTGGCCTGGATGGCATGCGCCACTGCAGGCTTATCAGCCAAGAGCCTGCCTCTCCCTGGGCAAGTGTGCACCAGAAATCAAAGCCTGGGACTCGAGGGCCACATAGTTTCTCTGATGGGTCCCCATCCATGCCCTGCACACCTCCCAAACCCAGAGCCAGGCCACACTCAACCTATCTGGGACACTCAACCTATCTGGTGTGCTCCCCTTTCCTTGGGCCCAAGATGCCGCCACCCTGGAGGTGACCCCATGGCTCAGAAGCAGCTAGGTGGCAAATTCCTAGAACAGGTTGCTTGACAAGGGGGCTTCCCACCTTAGGAAGCCACCATTCCTGCCATTCAGCCTCTGGGAAAGCTGACCTTCCAAGTATGACCCAACGTGTCCCCATGGCCCAAAGCCCACAGGGTCTGGGGCCAGCCTGCAGCATCACCAGGCACTGGCCAGAGTTCAGTCTTGAAACCCAGGGAAACAGCACCACCCACCAGTAGACTCAAGGAGGTGCCACTGGAATGGCCCATTGCTCCACAGGGTCGGTCTCCATTCAGCTGCATGCGTGGGGTGCGATTTTTGAAACTCCGTGACATGACTCCCATGGGCCCAACTGCCCACCACTCTTTATGGATGAAAACCCCCATGAGACACCCATAGGGTCCGAGAGCCCTGTGGCCACCTCACATGTCCTGGGCAGTCCTTGAGGCCTGACCAATGCACTGAGTCTCAGCTGGCAGCTGCCCTGCGTGAGGCTGAATGAACCCTTCCTACCTGGACCACTATCACCGCTATGGGGCTTCAGGACAGGCGTTTTCCTTGGGTTCAATTCCCAAGAAAGCAGCCCTTCTGGGGAACTCATCCCTGGTGGGAATTCAGGTCAATACTTATTTTAGGAAACTCTCATGGCCTGTAGGCAGACACTCAGAGACCCCACTATGCCACACTCATGACCCATGACCCCAGCAGGATCCACTCACCTATGCCAGTCAATGCCTAAGGCCCCACCTGGGCAGAAGAGCTCACTGAAAGACACAAGGGGAGTAGAGGGGTTCAGGGAGGGGCCACCAACATGCCCCACCCTGGGGAACTAGAGCACCCACACCAAGCCCGCACAGGGAGCCAGAGCTCTCACAGAGGAGTGCAGAGACAGGGTTGAACCCACTGAAGATGCCCTTCAGGGCCTTGAGGTCTTTAGCCCAGAATACAGTGGCCCTGCCGGTGACCTTGGGATCCCTGTGACCTCGCCCAAAATTCTCACCTAGGCTGGGCCTCAGCGTAATCCTATTGAGCATGATTTTTAAGTCATCACCTCTCTTCTGGACGATATAAGGTTCTCATCATTGACCCAATCCAGTGCAGCCCCCTCTCCATGCATAGATCCAGTGGGACCTGGATGGGCTCACCAGCTCCATACAGGAGATCAATGCACCAGGGCCTGGACACCTGGCTCATTGCCTCTGGCCGGGGCACAGTGGGACAAACGCAAGTCTTCCTTCAGGCTCACCATCTGGGGGGACAGGAGGAGGACCTATGTGCTGGGATCCATGTCACGGACACGAGGCAGCATTGGCACTCCCCGCCACCAAACCCTGGAAGGACAGGGCATGCGGGCCACTGGGCTCAGGCAAGATACCTGGGCCGTGCCCTACTGCAGGCCTCAGGATGACCTCCACTGCCCACGCCGGCTGCTCCACATGACCCCAGGGCTTGACAGAAACCACTGAGCACACCCCAGGGCCACCAACCACCTCATGCCCAACAAAGGAGGCTGGTCCTGATGCCAGGTGCCACTGCAGACCTAGCAGTTGCATAGCCTGCCCCTGGGCATGGTTGGCACCCAACCAGGCATGCTCTCCAAGCCCACATTGGAAATTGCAGCCTGTGGCCCCATGGCTACATGCTTTCTCCTGTGGCTCTCCATCCAGCCCTACATACCCTGGAGGTGACCCAATGGCTCGGAAGCATCCTGGGAGGCAAATTCCCAAGAGATTGCTTAACAGGGGGATTTCCCACCGTAGGAAGCCACCATTCGACATCCAGGAAGGGTTGACCCAAAGCATAACCCAAGCTGTCCCCATGGCCCAAAGCCCATGAGGTCTAGGGCCAGCCTGCAGCACCAAGAGGCGCTGGCCAGAGCTCAACCTTGACCCATACCCAGGGAAACAGCACCATCCTCCACCAAGCCCAAAGAGGCGCCCCTGAGATGGCCCATTACTCAAGAGGGTCGGCCCATTTAGGGCCATGATTGGGCAATCCTTGAATCTCCATGGCTGACCCCATGGGCCCATTCATGTACCCCTCTCCAGGGAAAGAGAACTCTCATGTAACCCCTGTGGCACCCCAGAGCCCCTGTGGCCCCTGTCACGTGGCCTGGGCAGTCCTCGAGGCCAGACATGCAGTGAGTCTCAGCTAGGAGCTGCCCTGCATGGGACTGAAGGAAGCCTTTCCTGCCTGGACCACTGTCACCCCTGCAGAGCTTCAGGGAAGGCACTGTCCTGGGGCTAATTCCAAGGAAGCCGGCCTCCTGAAGAATCCATCCCTCCCCAGTGGGGATTCATGTCAGCTCCCCTGGGAAACCCTCCTGTCCTCAAGGCTGATCATCGGTGAGACCAAGTGGCCTGACACATGGCTCATGATGTCCAGAGAATGAACTCACCTATGTGCATCAATGACAGGGAGCCCCACCTGTGCAGACGAGCTCACTCAAAGACACAAGACCCAAGGGAAGAACCAGGGCTCAGGAAGGACCCAGAAAGTTGTCCTACCCCAGGGAACCAGAGCGCCAACACCAAGCCCACACAGGGAGTCTGAGCTGCCTCACAGAAGAGTGTGGAGACAGAGTTGGGTAACCCGAAGATGCCCTTCAAGGCTCCAGGCCTGCAGCCCAAAACACAGTGGCTCTGCCAGGGACCCTAAAATCCCAGCATCCACTTCCAAAATTCTCATCTAGGCTGGGCCTCAGCGTAATCCTATTGAGCATGATTTTTAAGTCATCACCTTTCTTCAAGACAATATAAGGTTCTCATCATTGACCCAACCCAGGGCACCACCCTCCACCCCCTACACATGCATCCAGTGAGACCCAGATGTGCTCACCACAGCTCAGTGCAGGAGACCAGGGTGCCAGGAAGGGCCTGAGCTTCAGCTCACCAGGGCCTGAGCACCTGGCTAAGGGACACAGGCCCATCGCCAGTGGGCCAGATGCAAGTCTTCCTCCAGGGTCACCATCTGGAGGGACGGGGGACAGGTGTCCAAACAGGGCCTCATGCCTCCATGCGGGAAAGTGGGCAGGGGTGCTGGCTCACACAGGCTCTTTCTCCATGGACTCATGAGATGGGATCCATGTAAAACAGTGACAGTCATGATCGTGAGGAACCCTTGGCCCTCCCTGCCACTGAATCCTGGAAGGACAGGGCAGGCAGGTCATGGAATTCAAGCAAGACGCCCAGGCTGCACCCTACTACAGGATCCAAGAGCACTTTTACTGCTCACACCAGCTCCCCCGCACAACTCTGGGCTGTGCAGGGATACTGGGCAGGGCCAGGGCCACCAACCAGCTCACTGCAAACCAAGGAGGCTGGCCTGGAAGCCATGTGCCACTGCAGACCTGGCAGTCACTTAAGCTGCCCCTGGGCATGGAATGCACCTGTCCAGGTGTCCTCTACAGGGTCACACCAAAAATTGCATCCTGGGGCCCCAGGACCATGTGCTTTCTCTGTTGGGTCCCAATTCATGGACTGCACACCTCCCAAACAGAGCTGGGCCACACTCGGCCAATCGGGGCCACATGATATCCTCTCCTTTCCTTCGGCTCAAGACCCTGCCACCTTGGAGGCAACCCCATGGCTCAGAAACAGCCTGGGCAGCAAAGTGCAGGCATAGAACCCTTGACAGTGGCCTTCTACCACAAAATGCCACCCTTCCGGCCACTCCACTTTGGTGTGGAATGACCTCCAATGGAATGTGGGCTGCACCATTGGCCAAAAGCCCACGATTCCCAGGGCCAACCACTAGGTGACTGCCAGAGCTCAGCCTTGGCCCAACCCCACTCAGGCCACACCACCCCCACCAAACTCAAGGAGGCACCACTGTGATGCCCCATTGCTCAACAGGGTCAGTCCCATCAGGGCCATGGGTTGAGCCTGACCTTTGAATCTTCATGACCTGACTCCATAAGCCCAATCACCCTCCCAACTGCAAGCCTCAGGGACTGAGAGATCCCACATATAACCTATAACCCCCAGAGACCCTGTGGACCCCCTCATTTGGCCTGAGTAGGTCTCCAGGCCTGACCCGTGCACAAAGTCTAAGCTAGGAGCTGCACTGCATTGGGTTGAAGGAACCCTTTCCTGCCTGGACCTCCATAACCCCTGCAGGGTTTAGAGATGGCGTCCTTCTTGGGATCAATTTCCAAAAACGCCGCCCTCCTAGAGAAGCCATCCATCCCTGGTAGGGATTCAGGGTGGCTCCCCAAGGAAACCCTTTTTGACTGAAGAGTGGCCCTCAGCGACTCCCCGTGGTCTGGGTCATGCCCCGTGATTCCAGCAGGATCCACTCACCTATGCCAACTGAGGCCACAGGCCCACCTGGCAGAAGAGCTCACTGAAAGACATGGGGGAGAACAGGGGCTCAGGAAGGAGCCTCCAATGTGCCTCGCCCCCAGGGACCCGGAGCCCGGACACTAAGTCAGCACAGGGAGCCTGGGATGCCTCATGGAGGAGCGCAGAGACAGGGCTGGGCACCCTGGAGATGCCCTTCAGGGCCTCAAGGACTCCAGCCCAAAATATAGTGGCCCTGCCAGGGGACCTCGGGATCTCAGCATCCTCTTCCAAAATTCTCCCCTAGGCTGGGCCTCAGCGTAATCCTATTGAGCACGATTTTTAAGTCATCACCTCTCTTCAGGACAATATAAGGGTCTCATCATTGACCCAACTCAGGATACCCCCCTCCCCACACATGCATCCAGCGGGACACAGATGTGCTCACCAAGCTCAGTGCGGGACACCAGGGCACCAGGAAAGGCCTGAGCTTCAGCACAGCAAGGGCTGGGCACGTGGCTGACCACCACTCACCAAGGTCCAGCAGGGCCCAATGAAAGTCTTCCTTCAGTCTCACCATCTAGAGGACAGAAGGTGGACATGTGTCGAAATGGAACCTCACACCTCCATGCAGGGAAGGGTGTGGGGAGGTGCCTGCTCATGCCTACTCTCATGTGATGTGAAACCTTGACACGTCATGGACATAGGGGAACCCTGGCCCTCCCCACGACTGAACCCTGGAAGGACAGGGCAGGCGGGTCACTGGGCTTGGGCAAGCTGCCCTGGCTTTGCCCTACTGCAGGTACCTTGAGCATCTCAACTGCCCACGAAAGTTGACTTGCACGACCCCAGGAATGTGCTGTCCCCTGGGTATGGGCCAGGGCCACCTACCATCTCACGCCCAACCAAGGAGGCTGGCCTGGATGTCAGGTGCTGCTGAACTGGCAGTCGCACAGCCTGCCCCTGTGTGTGGAGGGCAAGCACCCACAGCCCGCTGTACAACACACCAGAAATCACAGCCTGGGGCCCCAGGGCCTCATAGATTCTCTGGTGGGTCCCCATCCCTGCCCCATACAACACCTCCCACACACAGAGCAGGCCACACTCAGCCAATCAGGGGACACATGATGTCTTCTCCTTTCGAAGACCCCACTCCCCTGGAGATGACCCCAAGACTCAGAAGCAGCCTGGATGGAAAATTTCTGCCACAGGTCCTTCCACAGCTGGCCTTCCACCTGTCCACCTCAGGAGGACACCACACTGCCAGTCACCCACAGGGAAGAGATGACCCCCAGTGGGACATGGGCTGTAACCCTGGCCCAAAGCCCAAAACTCCCAGCACCATCAGGCGCCAGCCAGAGCTAGTCCTGAGCCAATCTCAGGGAAACAGCGCCGTCCCACACTTGGCTCAAACAGGCACCAATGGGATGGCCCATGGCTTAATATGTTTGGTCCCATTCAGGGCCATAGGTTTTGTGCAATGCTTGAAAATCGGCAGCCCGACCCCATGGGCTGAATCACACACCCCACCCCAAGGTCGGAGAGCCCCTGACCCTTGTGGCACCCTGGATCCCTTGTGGCCACTCTCATATGGCGTGGCCGTCCTAGGGGCCTGACCTGAGCACTGAGTCTTAGTGGGGCACTGCCCTGCGTGGGGCTGAGAAAACCCTTTACTGCCTGGACCATTCAGGGAAGGTATCCTCCTTGGGTCTGATTCCCAAGGAAGCCTCTCTCCTGGAGGATCCATCCTAGGCCAGGATTCAGGTCAGCTCCTGAGGAAACCTTTGTGGCTGAGGGGTGACCCTTGGCAAAGCCATACAGCCTGGCTAATGGCCCGTGACCCCAGCAGGATCCACTCACCTATGCTGGTCAATGCCAGGGACTCTGCTGGATAGAAGAGCTGACTGAAAGACACAGGGGAGAATGGGGGCTCAGGAAAGACCCAGCAAGGTGCCCTGTCCCCAAGTAACAGGAGCGCCCACACCAAGCCCCAATAGTGAGACTGGGCTGCCTCACGGAGGAGCAGAGACAGTGTTGGGCACCCCCAAGATGCTGTTCAGAGCCTTGAGGTCTCTAGCCCAAAATACAGTAGTCCTGCAGGGGACTCTAAAATCCCAGCATACTCTTCCAAAAGTCTCACCTAGGCTGGGCCTCAGCGTAATCCTATTGAGCATGATTTTTAAGTCATCACCTCTCTTCAGGACAATATAAGTTTCTCATCATTGACCCAACCCAGGACACCCCCCTCCCCGCGGATGCATCTAGCAGGACCCGGATGTGCTCACCACAGCTCAGGGAAGGACATCAGGGCGCTGGGAAGGGCCCGAGCTTCAGTGCACCAAGGGCTGGGCACCTTACTGACGATCACTCATCCAGGGCCAGCAGGGCCCAATGAAAGTCTTCCTCCAGTCTCACCATCTAGGGGACAGTAGGTGGACATGTGTCGAAATGGAACCTGATGCCTCCACATGGGGAAGGGGGATGGAGGGTGCCAGCTCCTGCCTGCTTTCCCACCTTGGGCCCATGTGATGGGATCTTTGTGAAACACTGATATATGAATCCTGGAAGGACAGGGCAAGCGGGTCACTGGGCTTGGGTAAAACGCCCTGGCTGTGCCCTACTGCTGGCACTTGAGCACCTCCACTGCCCACAGCAGTGGCCTCACACAACCCAGGACTCTACTGGCCCCCGGCGTGTGAGCCAGAGCCACCTACTATCTCACGGGCAACCAAGGAGGCTGGCCCGGATGCCATGTGCTGCCAATCTGGCAGTCACACAGCCTGCCCTTGTGTGTGGAGGGCGAGCACCCATGTCCCGCTTAACACACAGGAAATCGCACCCTAGGTCTCCAGGGCCTTGTGGGTTCTCTGGTGGGTCCCCATCCATGCCCCATACAACCCCTCCCACACACAGAGCAGGCCACACTCAACAATTCAGGAAACACATGATATCTTCTTTCCTTGGGCCAAGACCCATGCCCCCCTGGAGATGACCCCATGGCACAGAGCCAGCCTGGATGGAAAATTTCCGGGATGGGCCATTCCATAGCAGGCCCTCCCACCTCAGGAGGGCACCCTTCCCACCACTCGCCCACATGCAAGAGATGGCCCCCAGTGGGATATGGGCTACTCCTTTGGCAAAGGCCCACAAGTCCCAGGGCCGGACTGCAGCACCATCAGGCACCAGCCAGACCTAGTCTGGAGGCAGTCTCAGGGAAACAGCGCCAGCCCCTCACTTGGCTCAAAGAGACACCACTAGGATGGCCCATTGCTTAATAGGGTTGGTGTCATTCAGGGCCATGGGTTTGGTGTGATCCTTGAAGATCCATCACCCAGCCCCATGGGCTGAACTGCATACACCTCTCCACGGTTGAAGTGAGCCACAAGACTCCCTTGGTGCCCTGGAGCCCATGTGGCCCCCTCATGTGTCCTGGCCATTCTAGAGCCCTGACCTGAGCACTGAGTCTTAGCGCGGCATTATTTGTGTAGGCCTGAAGAAACCCTTTACTGCCTGGACCACCGTCACCCCGCAGGGCTTCTGGGCTTCAGGGAAGGCATCCTCCTTGGATCTCATTCCCAAGGAAGACACTCTCTTGAACAACCCATCCCACGTGGGGATTCAGGTCACCCCTTAAGGACCCCGGTGGCTGAAGGGTGACCCTCAAAACCCACACAGCCTGGCTCATGGCCATGACCTTGGCAGGGTCCACTCACCTATGCTGCTCAATGCCAGGGACTCTGCTGGGCGGAAGAGCTCACTGAAAGACACAGGGGAGAATGGGGGCTCAGGAAGGAGCCAGCAAAGTATCCCAACCCCAGGAAACGGGGGCACTGACACCAAGCCCACATAGTGAGCCTGGTATGCCTGATGGAGGAGCACAGAGACAGGGTTGGGCCCCCTCCAGATGCCCTTGAGAGCCTCCAGGTCTCGAGCCCAAAATACAGTGGTCTTGCCAGGGAACTCCTAATTCCCAGCATCCTCTTCAAAATTCTCAACTAGGCTGGGCCTCAGCATAATCCTATTGAGCATGATTTTTAAGTCATCACCTCTCTTCAGGACAATATAAGGTTCTCATCATTGACCCAACCCAGGGCACCCCCTCCCCCAACACACTTCCAGCAGGATCCGGATATGCTCACCAAGCTCAATGCAGGAGACCAGGATGCCAGGAGGGCCCCTGCTTCAGCTCATCGGATGCTGGGCACCTGGCTGACGGCCACTGGCCTGGGACCAGCAGGCTCAAAGCAAAACTTCCTATGGGCTCACCATCTGGAGGGAGTGGAGACAGGCAGGTGTTTACACAGGCCCTCATGCCTCCATGTGGGAAAGCGGGGAGGGATGCTGGCTCACACATGCTCTCCCTTCATGGACCCATGTGATGGAATCTATATGAAATAATGACGGTCATGGACCCAGGGAAACCTTGGCCCTCACCAACCACCGAACCCTGGAAGGACAGGGTAGGTGGGTCACTGGGAACGGGCAAGATGCCCAGGCTGCGTGTTACTCAGGCCCCTGGAGCATGTCCACTGCCCATGCTCGCTCCACTGCACGACCCTGGACCACAACAGAAATCCTGGGCAGGAGCAGAAACCAACCAGCTTATGGCCAATGAAGGAGCCTGGCCCTGATGCCAGGTGCTGCTGCCAACCTGGCTGTCACACAGCCTTCCCCTGTACATCAGCCCAGGCTCCCTCTCCAAGCACATAACAGAAATCGCAGCCTGGGGCCCAGGGCCACCTGCTTTCTCTCGTGGGTCCTCATCTACACCCCAGACACCTGCCAAACACAGAGCTGGGCCACAATCAATCAGGAGCCACATGGTGCCCTCTCCTTTCCTTGTGTCCAAGACCTCCCCGCCCTGGAGGTGACCTCATGGCTCAGAAGCAGCCTGTGTGACAAATTTCCGGGGCAAGTCCCTCATGAGGGGGTCTTCTAATCTCGGGATGCCACCCTTCCCGTCATTGACCTCCAAGAAGGGATGTCCCCCAGCAGCAGGTAGGCTGCACCCTTGCCCAAAGCTCATGAGTGCCAAGGCTGGCCTGAGCACCACGAAGCACCAGTCATGGCTTAGCCTTGAGCCAACCTGTTGAAACCATGCTGCCACCCACCAGGCACAAGAAGGCACCACTGGGATGGCCCACTGCTTAACAGGGTTGGTCCCATTCAGGGCCATGAGTGGCACGCAATCCTTGAATCTCCACAGCCCGACCCCATGGGCCTGATAACCTACCCCTCTGTGAGATGAAGGGCCCCTCTGTGATCCCCTTGGCACCCCGAAGACCCTGTGTTACCACTCATTTGTCCTGAGCGGTCTTCAAAGACAGGCCTACACACCTAGTCTCAGCTGGGAGCTGCCCTGCGCGAGACTGAAGAAACCCTTTCCAGCCTGGTCCACTCTCACCCATGCAGGGCTCCAGGAAAGGTGTCCTCCTTGGTCAGATTCCCCAGGAAGCTGCCCTCCTGAGGACCAACATAACCCTCCTGTGGAGATTCAGGTCAACTCTCTGAGGAAACCCTCCTGTCCTCAAGTCTGATACTTGGTGACCCCATGCTGCCTGGCTCATGGCCCCTGACCCCAGCAGGATCCACTCACCTATGCTGGTCAATGCCAGGGGCTCTGCTAGGCAGAAGAGCTCACTGAAGGACACAGGGGAGAATGGGAGCTCAGCAAGGAGTTACTAGAATGTCCCACCACCCGGTAATGGGAAACAGGACACCAGGCCCACATAGTGAGCCTGGGCTGCCTCATGGAGGAGCAGAGAGACAGGGTTGGGCCCCCTCCAGATGCCCTTCTGAGCCTCCAGGTCTTTAGCCCAAAATATAGTTGTCCTACCGAGGAACTCATAATTCCCAGTATCCTCTTTCAAAATTCTCACCTAGGCTGGGCCTCAGCGTAATCCTATTGAGCATGATTTTTAAGTCATCACCTCTCTTCAGAGAAATATAAGATCTCATCGTTGACCCAATGCAGGGCACTGTCCCCCACCCCCCACAAACGCATTCAATGGACCCAGTTGGGCTCACCACAGTTCTGTGCAGGAGACCACGGTGCCAGGAACGGCTTGACCTTCAGTTCACCAGGGACTGAGCACCTGGTTCAGTGACCCTGCCCCGGGGTCAGCAGGACAGATGCAAGTCTTCCTCCAGGGTCACCATCTAGAGAAGTGGGGGACAGGTGTCCAAACAGGGCCTCACGCCCTCATGCAGGAAAGTGGGCAGGGGTGCTGGCTCACACATGCTTTCTCTCCATGGACTCATGAGATGCCATCCATATAAAACAGTGACTGTCATGAAGGCAGGGAACCCTTGGCCCTACCCGCGACTGAACCCTGGAAAAACAGGGCAGGCGGGTCACGTGATTCGAGCAAGACACCCAGGCTGCACCCTACTACAGGACGCTGGAGCACCTCCACTGCCCATGCCAGCGCCCCTGCCCGACTCTAGGCCACACTGGGACCACTATGCAGGGCCAGGGCCACCAACCAGCTCATGGCAAACCAAGGAGGCTGGCCTGGAAGTTATGTGCCACTGCAGACCTGGCAGTCACATGGCTCCCCCCTGGGCATACAATGCATCCATCCAGGCATCCTGTACAAGCTCACACTGGAAATTGCACCCTGGGGCCTTCTCTGTGGGTTCTAATCCATGCACCACACACCTCCCAAACACAGAGCTGGGTCACGCTCGGCCAATCAGGGGCCACATGATGTCCTCTCCTTTCCTTCAGCTCAAGATCCCACTAACTGGGAGGTGACCTTATGGCTCAGAAGCAGCCTGAGCAGCAAACTGCCAGCACAGGACCCTTGACAGTGGGCCTTCCACCACCAGATACCACCCCTCCGGCCACTCCACTTTGGGGAGGGATGACCTCCAGTGGAACACCCTTGGCCCAAAGCCCACAATTCCCAGGGCCAGCCACCAGGTGCCTACCAGAGATCAGCCTTGACCCAACATCACTGAAGCCACACCGCCCCTGCCATGCTCAAGGAGGCCCCACTGGGATGGCCCACTGCTCAACAAGGTCGGTGCCATCAGGGCCATGGGATGTGTGCAATCCTTGAATCTTCACGGCCTGACTCCATAAGCCCCAAAACCCAAACTGCAAGCCTCAAGGACAGAGAGCTCTCGAATAACACCCATGGCCTCCTGGGACCCTCCAGACCCCCTTATGGCCTGGGCAGTCCCCCAGGCCTGACCCGTGCACCAGGTCTCAGCTAGAAGCTACATTGCGTTGGGCTGAAGAAACCCTTTCCTGCCTGGACCTCCATTACCCCTGCAGGGCTTCAGGGAAGGTGTCCTTGAGATCAATTTCCAAGGAAGCTTCCCACCTGGAGAAACACCTGTCTCTAGTGGGTATTCAAGTTGATTCCCTAAGGAAACCCTAGTGGCCTCAGGGGTGACCCTAAGCGACCCCTTGTGGCTTGGCTCATGGCCCATGACCCCAGCAGGATCCACTTACCTATGCCGCTCAAGGCCAGGAGCCTGCCTGGGCAGAAGAGTCACTGAAGACAGGGAAGAACGGGGCCTCAGAGAGAAGCCGTCAACTTGCCCTGCCCCCAGGGAACCGGAGTGCCAACACTAAGCCTGCACTGGGAGCTTGGGCTGCCACATGGAGTAGCACAGAGACAGGGTTGGACACCCATAGATGCCCCTCAGGGCTTCCAGGCCTCTAGCCCAAAATACGGTGGCCCTGCCAGGGGACTTCACAATTCCCAGCATCCTCTTCCAAAATTCTCCCCTAGGCTGGGCCTCAGCGTAATCCTATTGAGCATGATTTTTAAGTCATTATCTCTCTTCAGGACAATATAAGGTTCTCATCATTGACCCAACTGAGGACACCCTCCTCCCCGCACATGCATCCAGCGGGACCCATAGGTACTCACCAAGCTCAGTGCGGGACACCAGGACACCAGGAAGGGCCTGAGCCAAAGCACATCAAGGTCTGTGCACCTGACTGACGACTACCCGACCAGGGCCAGCAGGTCCAATGAAAGTTTTCCTTCAGTCTCACCATCTAGGGGACAGAACGTGGACAGTGTCAAAATGGAACCTCATACCTCCATAGGGGGAGGGTGTGGAGGGATGCCAGTTCAAGCTTGTTCTGCCACCGTGGACCCATGTGATGGGATCCATGTGAAACACTGACATGTCATGGACACGGGGAAACCTTGGCCCTCCCCACTATCAAACCCTGGAAGGACAGGGCCGGCGGGACACTGGGTTTGGGCAAGATGCCCTGGATGCTCCCTACTGCAGGCACCTTGAGCACCTCCATCACCCACGACAGCTGCCTTGCACAACCCCATGGCTATACTGTCCCCTGGGTGCAGGTAAGGACCGCCTGCCATCTCACAGTCAACCAAGGAAACTGGCCCAGATGCCATGTGCTGCCGATCTGGCAGCTTCACAGCCTGCCCCTGCATGTGGAGGAGGAGCACCCAGGCCCTGCTCCACAAGACACCAAAAATAGCAGCCTGGGGACCCAGGGCCTTGTGTGTTCTCTGGTGGGTCCCCATCCCTGCCCCATACAACACCTCCCACACACAGAGCAGGGCCACACTCAGCCAATTGAAGGACACATGATGTCTTCTCCTTTCCTCGGGCCCAAGACCCTGGCCCCTTGGAGATGACGCCCTAGCTCAGAGGCAGCCTGGACAGAAAATTTCCAGAATAGGTCCTTGCATAGCAGGCCCTCCCACCTTAGGAGGACACCCTTCCCGCCACTCACCAACAAGGAAAAGGTGACCCCCAGTGGGATATGGGCTGCTCCCTTGGCCCAAAGCCCATGAGCCCCAGGGCTGGACTGCAGCACCATCAGGCACCGGCCAGAGCCAGTCTAGAGCCAATCTCAGGGAAACAGCGCCACCTCCAGCTTGGCCCAACGAGGCACCACTGGGATGGTCCATTGCTTAGTAGGGTTGGTGCCATTCAGGGCCATGGGTTTGGTGTGATCCCTGAAAATGCGCCACCTGACCCCATGGGCTGAATCATACACACCTCTCCAAGGTCAGAGAGCCCCAGCAAGACCGCCTTGAAGCCCCAGAGCCCTGTGGCCATTCTCATTTGGCCTGGCCTTCCTAGAGGCCTGACCTCAGCCTTGAGTCTTAGCAGGGCACTGCCCTGTGGGGGGCTGAGGAAACCCTTTACTGCCTGGACCACCAGTGGGCCACCCCTGCAGAGCGTCAGGGAAGGTATCCTCCTTGGGTCTCATTCCCAAGGAAGTTGCTCTCCTGGAGGACTCATCCCAGGTGGGGATTCAGGTCAGTTCCTGAGGGAACCCCTGTGGCTGAAGGGTGACCAACAGTTAACCCATACAGCCTGGCTCATGGCCCATGACCCCAGCAGGGTCCACTCACCTATGCTGGTCAATGTCAGGGGCTCTGCTGGGTGGAAGAGCTCACTGAAAGACACAGGGGAGAATGGGGGCTCAGGAAGGAGCCAGCAAGTTGCCCTGCCACCAGGTAATGGGAACATCAACAGCAAGCCTAGACAGTGAGCCTGGGGTGCCTCATGGAGGAGCGCAGAGACAGGGTTGGATACCCTCAAGATGCTGTTCAGGGCCTTGAGTCTCCAGTCCAAAATACGGTGGTTCTGCTAGGGACACAAAAATCCTAGCATCTTCTTCGAAAATTCTCCCCTGGGCTGGGCCTCAGCGTAATCCTATTGAGCACGATTTTTAAGTCATCACCTCTCTTCAGAACAATATAAGGTTCTTACCATCGACCCAACCCAGGGCACTGACCCAGTCCCCACACATGCATCCAGTGGGACCTGGATGGGCTCACCAAAGCTCAGTACAGGAGTCCAGGGTGCCAGGAAAGGCCTGAGCTTCGGCACACCAGGGACTGAGGGCCACGGGCCTGGGGTCAGCAAGCTACATGCAAGTCTTCCTCTGGGGTCACCATCTGGAGGGGTGGGGGACAGGTGTCCAAACAGGGCCTCACGCCTCCATGCAGGGAAGTGGGCAGGGGTGCCGGCTCACACATGCTCTCTCTCTCTGGACTCATGAGACGGGATTCATGTAAAACAGTGACGGTCATGATCATGGGGAACCCTTGGCCCTCCCTGCCACTGAACCCTGGAAGGAAAGGGCAGGTGGGACAGGGGATTCAAGCAAGACACCCAAGCTGCACCCTACTGCAGGCCCCTGGAGCACCTCCACTGCCCATGCCAGTTCCCCTGCATGAGTCTGGGCCACACTGGGATCACTGGGCAGCCTGTGCCAGGAGTTCCAGATAAGCCTAGCAGCTGGGTTCAAGTATCCACCAACCAACTCATGGCAAACCAAAGAGGCTGGCCTGGATGCCAGGTGGCACTGTAGACCTGGTAGTCGCATGGCCTGCCCCTGGGCATGGAATGTACCTGTCCAGGAGCACTCACAAGCTCACACCAGAAATTGCATCCTGGGTCCCCAGGGACACGTGCCTTCTCTGGTGGGTCCCCATTCATGTACCACACACCTCCCAAACACAGAGCTGGGCCACGCTTGGCCAATCAGGGGCCACACAGTATCCTCTCCTTTCCTTTGGCTCAAGACTCCACCAACCTGGAGGTGACCTCATGAGCCAGAAACAGCCTGGGCAACAAAGTGCCAGCCTAGGACCCTTGACAGTGAGCCTTCAACCACAGGATGCCACCCTTGTGGCCACTCCACTTTGGGGAGGGATGACCTCCAGCAGAACACAGGCTGCACCTTGGCCCAAAGTCTACGATTCCCAGGGCCAACCATCAGGTGACTCCCAGAGCTCAGCCTTAACCCAACACCAGTGAGGCCACACTGCTCGTACCATGCTCAAGGAGACACCACTGGGATGGCCCATTGCTCAAAAGGGTCAGTCCCATTCAGGGCCATCGGTTGAGCCTGACACTTGAATCTTCACAGCCTGACTCCATAAGTCCGATCACCCTGTCCCCCACAAGCCTCAGGGACGGAGAGCTCCCGTATAACACCCATAACCCTTGAAGACTCTGTGGACCCCCTCACATGGCCTGGCCGGTCCTCCAAGCCTGACCCATGCACCAAGTCTCAGCTACGAGCTGTAATGTGTTGGGTTTAAACAACCGTTTCCTCCGTGGACCTCCATTACCCTTGCAGGGCTTCAGGGAAGGTGTTCTTCTTGGGATCGATTTCCAAGAAAGCCGCTCTCCTGAAGAAACCATTTGTCCCTGTTGGAGATTCAGGTCAGCTCCCTAAGGAAACCCTCATGGCCTGAAGGGTGACTCCCAGCGACACCCAGTGGTCTAACTAATGGCCCATGATCCCATCAGGAGCCACTTACCTATGCGGCTCAAGACCAGGAGTCTGCCTGGGCAGGAGAGCTCACTGAAAGACACAGAGGAGAACCGGGCTCAGGGAGGAGCTGCCAACCTGCCCTGCCCCCAGGGAACTGGAGTGCCAACACCAAGCCCACACAGGGAGCCTGGGCTGCCTCATGGTGGAGCGCAGAAATAGGCTAAGCACCCCGTAGATGCCCTTCTGGGCCTCAAAGACTCCAGCCCAAAATACAGTGGCTCCGTTGGAGACCTCAGAATCCCAGTGTCCTCTTCCATAATTCTCCCCGAGGCTGGGCCTCAGCGTAATCCTATTGAGCATGATTTTTAAATCATCACCTCTCTTCAGGATAATATAAGGTTCTCATCATTGACCCAGTTCAGGGCACCCGCCTCCCCACACATGCATCCAGCGGGACTCAGATGTGCTCAGCACAGCTCAGTGCAGGAGACCAGGGTGCCAGGTAGGGCCTGAGCATCAGCACACCAAGGGCTGGGCACCTCACTGATGACCAGTTGCCCATGGCCAAAGGGGCCAATGAAAGTTTTCCTCCAGTCTCATCATCTAGGGGACAGAGGTAGATATGATTCCAAATGGAAGCTTACATCTCCATGAGGGGAAGTGGTTGAGGCGGTGCCCACTTACGCCTGCTCTCCCACTGTGGATCCATGTGATTGAATCCATGTGAAACACTGACATGGCATGGATAAGGGGAAACCTTGGTCCTTCCCACCATCGAAATCCAGAAGGACGGGGCAGGTGGGTTACTGGGCTTGGGCAGGACACCCTGGCTGCGCCCCACTGCAGGCAACTTGAGCACCTCCACTGGTCACGAGAGCTGCCTCACATGACCCCAGGAGTGTACTGTCCCCCTGGTTGTGGGCCAGGACCACCTGCCATCTCATGCCCAACCAAGGAGGCTGGGCCAGGTGCCACATGCTGCCTATCTGGCAGTCACACAGCCTGCCCGTGTGTGTGGAGGGTGAGCACCCAGGCTCCACTCCACAACACAGTGGAAACTGCAGCCTGGGTCCCCAAGGCCTCGTGGGTTCTCTAATGGGTCCCCATCCATACCCCATTCAACACCTCCCACACACAGAGTGGGGCCACACTCAGCGAACCGGGGGACACATGATGCCTTCTCCTTTCCTTGTGACCAAGACCCTGCCCCCTGGAGATGACCCCATGACTCAGAAGCAGCCTGGATGGCAAATTTCCAGGACAGGTCCTTTTAGAGTGGGCCTTCCCACCACAGGAGGACACCCTTCCTGTCACTCGCCCACAAGGAAGACGTGACCTCTGGTGGGACACTGGTTGTACACTCGGCCAAAGCCCACGAGTCCCAGGTGCTGGACTGCAGCACAATCAGCCGATGGCCAGAGCTAGTCCTGAGCCAATCTCAGGGAAACGGCGCCGCCCCCAACTTGGCTCAAAGAGGAACCACTGGGACGGCCCATTGCTTAATATAGTTGGTCCCATTCAGGGCCATGGGTTTGCTACAATCCTTGAAAATCCCCAGCCCGACTCCATGGGCTGAATCGCACATACTCCTGCAAGGTCGGAGAGCCCCTGAGAGACACCCATGGTACCCTGGAGCCATGTGACCACCTCACATGGCCTGGCCCTCGTAGAAGCGTGACCTGAGCACCGAGTATTAGTTGGGCACTGCACTGTATAGGGCTGAGGAAACACTTCACAATCTGGACCACCGCCACCCCTGCAGGGCTTCAGGGAAGGTATCCTCCTTGGGTCTGATTCCCAAGAAAGCTGTTCTCCTGAAGAACCCATCCCAGCGGGGTTTCAGGTCAGCTCCCGAGGAAACCCTTGTGGCTGAAGGGGGACCCTCAGCAAACCTACACAGCCTGGCTCATGCCCCACGATCACAGCAGGGTCCACTCACCTGTGCTGGTTAATGTCATGGGCTCTGCTGGGCAGAAGAGCTCACTGAAAGACACAGGGGAGAATGGGGGCTCAGGAAGGAGCCAGCAAGTTGCCCTGCCACCAGGTAATGGGAACATCAACAGCAAGCCTAGACAGTGAGCCTGGGGTGCCTCATGGAGGAGCGCAGAGACAGGGTTGGGCCCCCTCCAGATGCCCTTCAGAGCCTCCAGATCTCAAGCACAAAATACAGTGGTCCTGCCAGGGAACTCCTAATTCCCAGCATCCTCTTCAAAATTCTCAACTAGGCTGGGCCTCAGCGTAATCCTATTGAGCATGATTTTTAAGTCATCACCTCTCTTCAGGACAATATAAGGTCCTCATCATTGACCCAACCCAGGGCACCCCCTCCCCCAACACACTTCCAGCAGGATCCGGATATGCTCACCAAGCTCAATGCAAGAGACCAGGATGCCAGGAGGGCCCCTGCTTCAGCTCATCGGATGCTGGGCACCTGGCTGATGGCCACTGGCCTGGGACCAGCAGGCTCAAAGCAAAACTTCCTATGGGCTCACCATTTGGAGGGAGTGGAGACAGGCAGGTGTTTACACAGGCCCTCATGCCTCCATGTGGGAAAGCAGGGAGGGGTGCTGGCTCATACATGCTCTCCCTTCATGGGCCCATGTGATGGAATCTATATGAAATAATGACGGTCATGGACCCAGGGAAACCTTGGCCCTCACCAACCACCGAACCCTGGAAGGACAGGGTAGGCGGGTCACTGGGAACGGGCAAGATGCCCAGGCTGCGTGTTACTCAGGCCCCTGGAGCACGTCCACTGCCCATGCTGGCTCCACTGCACGACCCTGGACCACAACAGAAATCCTGGGCAGGAGCAGAGGCCACCAACCAGCTTATGGCCAATGAAGGAGCCTGGCCCTGACGCCAGGTGCTGCTGCCAATGACACAGCCTTCCCCTGTACATCAGCCCAGGCTCCCTCTCCAAGCACATACCAGAAATCACAGCCTGGGGCCCAGGGCCACCTGCTTTCTCTGGTGGGCCACACTCAGACAATCAGGAGCCACATGGTGCCCTCTCCTTTCCTTGTGTCCAAGACCCCCCCGCCCTGGAGGTGACCTCATGGCTCAGAAGCAGCCTGTGTGACAAATTCCCGGGACAAGTCCCTCATGAGGGGGTCTTCCAATCTCAGGATGCCACCCTTCCCGTCATTGACCTCCAAGAAGGGATGTCCTCCAGCGGCAGACAGGCTGCACCCTTGCCCAAAGCCCATGAGTCCCAGGGCCGGCCTGAGCACCATGAAGCACCAGCCATGGCTCAGCCTTGAGCCAACCAGTTAAAGCCATGCTGCCACCCACCAGGCGCAAGAAGGCACCACTGGGATGGCCCACTGCTCAACAGGGTCAGTCCCATTCAGGGCCAAGAGTGGCACACAATCCTTGAATCTCCACAGCCCGACCCCATGGGCCTGATAACCTACCCCTCTGTGAGATGAAGGGCCCCTCTGTGATCCCCTTGGCACCCCGAAGACCCTGTGTTACCACTCATTTGTCCTGAGCGGTCTTCAAAGACAGGCCTACACACCTAGTCTCAGCTGGGAGCTGCCCTGCGCGAGACTGAAGAAACCCTTTCCAGCCTGGTCCACTGTCACCCATGCAGGGCTCCAGGGAAGGTGTCCTCCTTGGGTCAGATTCCCCAGGAAGCTGCCCTCCTGAGGACCAACATAACCCTCCTGTGGAGATTCAGGTCAACTCTCTGAGGAAACCCTCCTGTCCTCAAGTCTGATACTTGGTGACTCCATGCAGCCTGGCTCATGGTCCCTGACCCCAGCAGGATCCACTCACCTATGCTGGTCAATGCCAGGGGCTCTGCTGGGTAGAAGAGCTCACTGAAAGACACAGGGGAGAATGTGGGCTCAGGAGGGAGTTACCAAAATGCCCCACCACTGGGTAATGGGAAACAGGACACCAAGCCCACATAGTGAGCCTGAGCTGCCTCACGGAGGAGCAGAGAGACAGGGTTGGGCCCCCTCCAGATGCCCTTCTGAGCCTCCAGGTCTTTAGCCCAAAATGCTCAGTTGTACCGAGGAACTCGTAATTCCCAGCGTCTTCTTTCAAAATTCTCACCTAGGCTGGGCCTCAGCGTAATCCTATTGAGCATGATTTTTAAGTCATCACCTCTCTTCGGAGAAATATAAGATCTCATCATCGATCTAACGCAGGGCACACCCCTCCCCACACATGCATCCAGCGGGACAAAGATGTGCTCACCAAGCTCAGTGCAGGACACCAAGGCACCAGAAAGGGCCCGAGCTTCAGCTCATCAGGTACTGAGCACCTGGCTGAGGGACATGGGTCCAGGGCCAGTGGGACGGATGCAAGTCTTTCTCCAGGGTCACCATCTGGAGGGGCGAGGGACAGGTGTCCAAACGGGGCCTCACACCTCCACCCAGGAAAGGGGGCAGGGGTGCTAGCTCACATATGCTCTCTCTCCATGAACTCATGAGATGGGATCCATGTAAAACAGTGACAACCATGAAAGTGGGGAACCCTTGGCTCTCCCTGTGACTGAAACTCTGGAAAAACAGGGCACTAGGTCATAGGACTCAAGCAAGACGCCCAGGCTGTACCCTACTGCAGGCCACAGGAGTACCTCCACTGCCCACGCCAGCTCCCCCACCCCACTCTGGGCTGCCCGGGATTACCTGGCAGGGCCAGCGCCACCAACAAGGTCATGGCAAACCAAGGAGGGTGGCCTGGATACCAGGTGCTGCTGCAGACCTGGCAGTCACATAGCCCACCATTCCCAAGGCCACCACCAGGTGACTGCCAGAGATCAGCCCTGACCCAACCCCACTGAGGCCATGCTGCCCCCACCATGCTTAGGGAGGCACCGCTGGGATGGCCCATTGCTCAACAGGATCAGTACCATTCAGGGCCATGCGTTGAGCCTGACAGTTCAATCTTCTTGGTCTGACTCCATAAGCCTGATCACCCACACCCTGCCCCCTACAAGCTCAGGGATGGGGAGTTCCCGCATTAACACCTATAATCCCCAAAGGTACTATGGACCCCTTATGTGACCTGGGCAGTCCTCCAGAATGACCCACGCATCAAGTCTCACCTAGGAGCTGCACTGCGTTGGGCTGAAACAACCCTTTCCTGCCTGGACCTCCATTATCCCTACAGGGCTTCAGGGAAGGTGTCCTTCTTGGGATCAATTTCTAAGGAAGCCACCCTCCTGGAGAAACCATCCATCCCTGGTAGGAATTCAGGTCAGCTCTCTTAAGAAAATCCTCATGGCCTGAAGTGTAATCCTCAGCAACCCCTCAACCGTTGAACGGCTCATGGGCCATGACCCCAGCAGGATCCACTCACCTATGCTGCTCAAAGACAGGAGTCCACCTAGGCAGAAGAGATCAATGAAAGACACAGAGAACAGGGCTCAGGGAAGAGCTGCCAACCTGCCCTGCCCCCAGAGAACTGGAGTGCCAACAACAGGCCCACTCAGGGATCCTGGGCTGCGACACAGAGGAGCGCAGAGACAGGGTTGGGTACCCCAGAGATGCCCTTCAGAGCCTCAAGGACTCCAGCCCAAAGTATAGTGGCCCTGCCAGGGTACCTTGGGATCCCAGCGTCCTCTTCCAAAATTCTCACCTAGGCTGGGCCTCAGCGTAATCCTATTGAGCATGATTTTTAAGTCATCACCTCTCTTCAGGACAATATAAGGTTCTCATCATTGACCCAAC